CCAGGTTCAGAAAGATAAGTGAATCGTCTTTGACTGTCTCAAATGAGCCGAGGGATTCCACCTCCTACCAGTACTCACCCCAAAAATGACGTTAGGACTACGAGGCACGATCATTTGTAGCCTGGCTGATCATTTTCGACCTTATTCTGGCCAGTTAAGCAGAAGTCATCTCACTGATATTGCTAGATTACTATCGTACATTACTTCCCCGCAATAGACATGTCATTATCTATTTCGTTCGACAAATCCATTTGGCATCAAGCTGTAAACTGTCGGAACGCTGCGTGGTCTTTAAACTGTATACGATATCGTATACTCGTATTATCAATCCTACAAGCATCATCTGGACAAAAGAACGGATGTGGTCACTGCGCCTAGAGTAGCCGTATAAAGAGTGAGGTATATGTTGTCAGCTCCCATTGAACTATGGACCAGCAGCTCGCCCTGGTGCATTGGTGCGTGATCATGATCAATATGTAAGTAACATAGGGCTCCTTCAGCATTCCATTTAAATAGACTGCTCCTAGTCAGTATCGTCCCTAAAGCATGCTGATGTTGCGCTGGTCATTTCGAGACACATGCACACTGCCGGACTTTGTGAGCAGCTGCTAATGTCCTGCTTACGAAGCGCCGCTGTCCCTGTGATGAAGCTCTTAATCAGTGTCATATGTAGAAGAGGCTGCTGAATTTAACAAACACAGCTGCTTCGCATATGTTGTCGCTTATTTCAGCAATGAAAGTGTCCATGCGGTGATGCTTGTCATTTATGTCTTCACATGTCTTCCCACATGCGTCTTTCATTGTCAACTACCTACTACGACAAACTACTGGTAGCCGACAATAGTAAGAAAATCTACCTGTTTTCTACACCCCCTGTAACTCCAACTCTATTTGCATAGATCGAAACTGCTTTGTTAACCGCGCTGTGCTGGGGGAAGGGGGAGGGGGTTACGCCTCCCTCAGACCTTCCGCAAATATCTCAAAACCGGCGGCTATACGCGCCGCTATTTTTGGCACACTTGTTCATATATCTTTTCCGCACATGGTGTGAAAACTTCGGAGCTAGGTCGTTCAAGGTTCATTGGTTCAGCTACACCGACGGAGCAATCGTTTGAAACTTTCAGTGATTGGTAACACTAACAGTAGGTATGCATAACCTGTATATCTCCGAAGTTTGATATATGTGACTTGGAACCTCCCACTTTCAAAAAAGTTAATGCATTGGCGTAAAAGTGATGTCCCTTGGTTTGGAAAGATCAAAAATGAATATCTACCAAATTTCACTGAAAAAAAAAAAATATTCACTAGTTTTCAAGATATTAGTCTTTTACTTTTGTTTACTTTTTGGAATCTCCGCTGTTCCTAGCTACTTATTTGGAAGCAGTAATTTGGCAGCCTCGAAGTGCGGCAGACGCTGCGGGCAAAGCAGAGTATACCACCACGTGTTAACGATGGTTTTAGTCTGAGATTTAAAAATCGTTAGATCTCTGCTGACGTCACAAATTCTAAGGGGACATTCCAATGCATTAGCCCCTTAGAATCCGAAAACTGCAAATTTGAAATTTCATATCTCCGAATTAAAGCATTTTTCGATGTTGTGAGTGCCCAAACCGGTATTTGCAGGCCATGGCCACCAATTTGGCTACCCCAACTCAAAACTTATGTTAAGGTGGGACGGTCACTTTAAGATCCGGTCAATTTTGCGACCTCTCCTTTCAATGAGAGAAAAATGAACTGCGCTTCTTTTGGAAGAATGTCGTTCTAAACACTCTCAAACATCATGTTAAGGGTAAAAATGGCACAATGAATATAAAAATTGCACCTGTGGCCCCTCTGTGTACACCTGTGACCTGAGGTCATCTCAGCCTAGGTCAATGAAGGTCAGCAGTAGTTCTTAAACTTTGATAGAGACGTGCTAGAGCGGTGGAAACACCTCATACGTGTTCAGCTCAACGATACAGATCGACTGATATGCAGCATGACCCTTTCCGGTCAGGTCATGACCTTGACCTGAGGTCAAATTTTCCAAAATGACCTTTCAAGGTCAAGTTACAGTTCATTCGACGCGTTTTGGCGTGAGGAACACGATGCTGGCAAAATGAATGTCGTGACTCTCTTGAGAGAAAAGTTATTGCATATTTTTTGAACGGATATTTTTAGTTTTTGCTCTCTGGAGCAAAAACTAAAACCGTTAAGCTGAGTTCAAATCAGAAACGTTGCTGAGAAAGGCCTTTTAAAGAGCTATCAAATGTGCTTTTTCGCGGCGCTGTAGCTTCATTTGTTCCCGAGTTAGGTGTCGGTGTTTTGAAAATTTTTGCAATAGACAAAATTTGTCCTTCGATGACCTCTGGCGACCTGACCTTCGACATGAACTAAAAGGAGATGAAGTATTTTCCTCATTGTTTTTGACACTCTTTCGATTGCCGCTTACCGTGTGTCGCTACGTGGCCGAGGGGCCGATTTAGACGGGAAAAGTGGTAAAGAAAAGCGCTCCTCCCCCAGCACGCCATGCGAAAACTCAGACCACCAGCACGGCGCGAGTTATTCGAGAGCTCATCCAAACCACAGACGTCATAATTAGACATAACATAATTTTATGTATATTCACATATCAACACATCGCCACATTGGTTTTCAGCTTTTTGTCAACAGCACCATCATTATGCGATGCAGTTTGCATTAAAGTCATATTTACAAAACATCAGGCATAAACACACCAGCCTGAGACGTCATCTGATCACGATCCGTCGATTGGCGCTTTTCCACCGACATTTGTCCCTGTAGGTGCCCCTGACCGTCTCGGCCGGCCGCCCCAGAAGGCAGATAGTCCGGAGGTGACCCCAGCTGGGCCCCTCCCCAGCAGGCTGGCCCTGCTATGGACAGCTTCTGCGGAGCAGATAGCAGAGCGTCTCAGCCGCGGCCTCCCGTGGGACAGTCGCAGGTGGCTGACAGTGCACCGTCACACACAGCGACACCGGCAACTCAAATCGAGCTAAAAACGTGGTCTGAATATGAATTTATCAGCTTATTATTCATACGCATTATAGGTGATTGATTCGCGAGGTGATCTGAAATCATCTGAACGATTAATATCTCATTATTTTGATATTTCGTTTTTTATCGCAATTCAAAGCAAAGTAAATAGTCAGTCGTCGGTACTAATGCTGTTTCATAGCTACTCACGCGTCGTAGTCGCATTGGTGGGCGGCGTCGTTCCAGGCCAGGCCGCTGGGACAGTCAAAGTGCCACGGAATGTAATCGTTGCACTCGTAGAAGCCGTGGCAGTCATCGGGGTCAGGGAACAGTCCATCTTTGGAGGTGCATTGAAACGGGCTCTCTGTGGTCGGCTGGCCCCTCAGTGCACCTGGATACAGTCGAAATAGGAAGACTGAGTGATGGTTTACAAGAATGCCTGCCGTGCCAAAATAAGCGAAAATACACGCAAAGAGATATTTTGAGAGTGACTTTAGATTGAATTCATAAGATAAGTTCAGCAACGAGCATGTAAGAGTGTAACGGTATCTCCCTGATTAATGTAAACCGTCTCAGTAGATCAATCACAAAAATATAAGATATTCACTTTCATCACATTCAAAAAGCAAATTCACTATCACCATTTTCTATATTCGTACACTGAGGCATTCACGTACTCAACAAGGCGCTTATCGACAGCAGAACAATCGTCAGAGCCAGTGTGCGGTCCATGGCTGCAGCTGCGGTGGCTCGTCTTCCGAGGGTATGTGTCCTCCACTCACTGGCAGACGTGGCGGTCCAGACCCTTTTTATGACGACCACGGCCCAGCAGCTGCATGGCGCCCACGGCCCGGCCTGTAGCTGCGTATATGATTGCACATGCATATTCTCAGTAAGAATCTCATGCTGTCGATTCTAGGTTAAGGAAAAAGACTTTGATAGCTCGTGCATGTAGATAGCTCTTCACCGTGCACTTGCTGTGCAATGTTTGGTTATGTAGTCATGGTGAGCTTAAGGTATGGGCTGAAAAAAGGACGATCCTGATTGATTTTATGCCGTATTTTTAAGTTACTCTATATTTCTGATTGTCATCTGTATGAAATCGCTTTCCCTTCAAGCATGACGAATCGAATTTCTGTGCTGCCATTAAACCATTTTCCGAGCTGCCATTAAAAGTTTGTGCTAGCTTTATGACACAAGTTCCATGGAAATGAATTAACATTTAATTTGCATGGAAAAATTAAATATTCTGTTTTTATGCAATCTCAATATGTATGCTTCATATTATTTAAGGACGTCTAGAACGTAAAAGATCATTTATTCATTATTTATTTATTTACTTCGTAGTGGCCGTCCTCTATCTATGACCGAAGTCAAAGAGGCTATTCTTATTCTATCATCACTAACAAAACGTAGAAAATACGACGACTAAAGAACAATCCGAATTAGAATAAATAATCGGATAGGAGGGAGAGACTTTAGTTCAGATGAGATCCAATATCTGGTAGGATTTGAGTGACGATCCGCCGCGGGAGCGACGATGAGCACTGGTGCGTCGCAGCTGCACGCCAGATATGAACGAAAATCCGCCCGAGACGGCCGCTCAGTGGAACAACTGTCCGACATTGAACTCCATTTCCGAGGTTACTATGTCCAACGTTTTTCTCTTCTCATGATTTCAAAAAAAAAAAAGAACGAAGGAAGCCAAGATCACGGTGGTGTGAGGTGTCTGTCTATCTGAAAGCCCTGAGCAATGGGTAAAGTTGGCTTGGCTATATACATAAACCTCATTCGTAAGCTTCATGAATGACACACTGTTCCGTCCGAGTTCCGTCCGATGGCCGCCTGACCTTCACATCCGGTGTCCGCGTCTGCCAGCCCTGTCCAGGGTCCCCCGGTGTCCGTGTCTGACTCTCCTGTCCGGTGTCCGCGTCTGCCAGCCCTGTCCAGGGTCCCCTGGTGTCCGTGTCTGTCTCTCCTGTCCGGCTTCCATGTCTGACTCTCCTGTCCGTCGTTCTGTGCCGCAGACAGCCGGGATCTGGAGAGCAGCACTGTGCAGACGCTGGCCGGGGACCCGGTGACGCTGCCCTGTCCCGGGCTGGGCCAGTCGCCGTTCGTCGTTTCGTTGACGTGGCTGTGTCGCCGCTGCGGACCCAGTGTCGGTGCTGACGGATCACCACATAAGCTGATCGTGTACCGGGACGGTCGCGTCCAGCCCGCCCCCGCCGCCCCCGCCCCCGCCCCCGCCGCCGCCGGCGGGCGGTCGGGGGCCTCGGAGCGCGGCGCGGAGACGAGGCCCTACGCCTGGGTCGGAGACAGGACAGCAGAGGAGGTGACGCCGGACAAACCGCGGCTCCGGCTGGACGAGACGACGTACGCACTGCTCATTGACGCCACCCGCGCCTCTGACACCGGCGACTACTTTTGTCTGGTCAACAGTCGACAACAGCCTAAGGGAGCCGTGAGACTAGAGGTCAAAGGTGAGTGGTGCGGCTCAATGGCGAGGGGAAGGTTAAAGGTCACACACCGCGGGAAACCACCCGGAACTGAGACGGCTGGTGTTGAAGAGAAGGGCTCGGAATAAGATATCTATATAAACAAGGCCATATATAGGGGTGCACCCCTCTCTACACCCGGGTGTAGAGAAGAATGGCTGGGGTTGCTCTTGCATTGTGCAAAAGAAACTGGCATGAACTGGGCGGATGGCCGGTGCCCGGTGGGTGTTGTAGGACCAGCTAACTGTCTCGTGAGTCGCGACGTTACGAAGTCATTGTAAGCCTGCCTCTCCCAGTCCCAGCTAATATGATCGGAACGCTTACCGTTACGGCAACCCTGACCCTAGAGAGAACGGAATGATTATATTCTAGAGTGTGGTCGAATGTCTCGCATCTTTTTGCTTCCAGAACCTAAAATATGATTGGTTTGATGGAAAATTCATTCAGTAACCATTTTATAGTTAGAACTAGATATTTTGGACTCTGAACAAATATAACGCAACTGTGTTTTCTGCTTTTGATGCCCAAGGTAAGCATTAAACGCATACTTCATGCGTTCGCTATTTCCATATATCCAGATATGTACCTACATGCAAATGATGACTCTCCATTTGTGTGGCGCTGTGTTAAGTTTATGTTTTTATTGCAGACGCGCCGGATGCCCCCGGCCGCCCCTTGATTCAGTCGTTTTCGTCACGAACAGTCAACATCTCATGGACGCACCCTCGTCGCACAAACTTCTCCCCAGTGCTGCACTACCTGATCCACGTCAGGTGAGTAGACATTTAATTATTAGTCGCCAGTTCATTATGTATGTAAGTACCCGATCTTCATGGATTTCATGACAGCTCATCATCAATGTATCCTCAAGACCTGGGAGTTCGATGCTCGTTCCGATTCCAGTAACTCTCTCCTCTAGAAACAATCACCATCATTCCGACTCTGTCATGTCTCGACGCCACGGCGACACCCACTAAACTGCGCTCAGTGTCGGTCGGTCGCAGTGAGCCGATATTAAAACCCGATGACGGCCGGCCGGCCGGCGCGGCTGGTGGCCCACGCGCAGATCTTTAGCTGACGACCGAGGGCTGAGGACTATCCGAGGATCGTCGGCGCTCCCGGCCGAGCCGCTGGAATTCTGATAGGCAGGCGCGTTTGCATGGACAAGTGCGCGTTAAGGCGGAATTGAGCCGATAGTGAACTGCAGGTTTGCGTCGAAGGGTGTAGTGGCCTGACGTGAGAATGTGCCAAAGGGTGAATGGAAGATGAGGCATGAAAAGGGAAAGGAGAATGCAGTTGATCAGGTCGATGTGATTTCGATCACCGTTTGACGGTGATCCCGTTGTCATTGTCACTTCCGATCAGGAACAGTTAATGTGGAGATCACACCTATCTTGTCATAGATCACACTTGTCTGGAGGGAAAATTGTATTCAAAGCCGTAACGCACTGTGTCAATTATTCATTGGAACGCTCCCTGAAGCTTTCTTACTGTCAATTTTTATCAATCCGTCATGACTAATTAACATTTAGCGAAAATTCGAAAAAGAAAACGAATCCGTGACAACAGAATAGCTGATTACACAATAACGAGCCTGTTCATGACGGCCTTCTACCCTCGTACTTAATCACCCTCCTGATTCACATTCATCCTGGTCGCCGCATTGTCGCTATCACTTCTGCGCCGGTTCTGTCTCTCTCTCCTCCCAGGAAGGAAATGACTTACCACTCCGAGTTCAGCCATCTGTCACAAAGATAAACTGCGCACCCGCACCAAATAAGGAACCTTTTATTTCAATTAGTGGAATCCTGGCGACAGATTTATACCAACGTCCTTAATGCAAAACACTCTCCAAAAATACGATGTGAATGTGAAGTCCGCCCCAGGAAGGGCAGGAAATCACGGAAGCCTTCCTTTTGCTTTAATTTGTTTATGTCCTACTTCGTAATAAACAAGCTTAGCAACAAGCCCATTCTCCCATTTTCCAATTACTATGCGCCCTTTGGGATGTTGCACAATCCGTTCTTTCTAAGCCGCGTTGAAAAGTAACTCAAAAGCAGACTCACATATTCTTATACCACCATTCTTTTCTCTCCAACTCCAAACAAGAGGATTATCTCCATAAATGAAATTCCCTGTTATTGTTCTCTAACTCATACGCTGCGACGCGCCAACAACGGACTTGACATGGCGCATTTGTCTGCGCTGCGTCCCATTACCGGCTGCGGCACGCTGACGAGACACTCGCGGCGCGGCGCTCGTCCGTCAGGCGGCGAATCCGGCGCGGCGGATTGCGTCGCCGGCGTCACCGCCTCCTTTGCCGCCTTACTCGCGCCGGCGCCTTATATATGCGGAGCGCTTTAATTATACGACCACTTGGCAGGCCGTGCCAGGTTATGAAGCGGCCGGCCGGAGTGCGGTGCCGCCTGATCTGGCCCCCGATCGGGGCTGATAGAGAGGGGCTGGTGAGGTGCAGAGAGGGGCTGAGAGGGGCTGATAGAGAGGGGTGGAGAGGGTCGGAGAGAGCTGATAGAGAGGGGTGGAGAGGGGCTGATAGAGAGGGGTGGAGAGGGCCTAGCAGCGATAGGCGGATAGAGGCGGAGAAGGGCTGGTAGAGAGAAAAGGAGAGGTTGGAGGGGGTTGGAGGGGACTGATAGAGGCCAGAAGGAGACTGAAAGGGAAGGCAGAGGCTCAGAGTTGTTGAGCTGAGGGTGAAGGCACCGGTCTGAGAAACGGAGGTAGAGTATTAGCTGAAAAAGGAAATGAGCATAGCAAGGAAGGTATCTAGTGAGAGAACGAGACTTCTATAACAGAACGTTTTGCATGAACGAAGTAACAGCTATTAAATAATCGTTGCCTCAGAGCGAGGTATTTTTTAGGCAGCCGGCTCCGTTTCTGTACCGGACGTCCTTCTTGTGTCACCCACCCGCCTTCCGTGGGTTCTGTTACACTTTTTTTCGTCACAGGCCACCATCAGCCGTACAACAATCGCAGCTGGAGAGGCAGGACGGAATGAGAACAGGGCAGCATTGTTTGATAGAGAAAGACCAATGCACATCGACTGATTAGAGCCTGTGGCATGTTTATTCGGTCCCAAACAAGGAAAGGTTGGCAACATGTGCTTTGAATCTCGGGCTGGCGGAAGCGTTTAACTGTACTGCGGCACAGTCCGTCTCACGGCGTTTAGCTGTACTGCGGCACAGTCTATCTCGCGGCGCTCGACTGCACTGCGGTACAGTCTACTTTACGGCGTTCGGCTGTATTGCAGCACAGTTTAACTCCCCGGCGCTCGGCTGTATTGCGGCACAGTCTATCTCACGGCGCTCGGCTGCACTGCGGTGCAGTCTAACAAACAGGCGCTCGACTGCACTGCGGTACGGTCTAATTTACGGCGTTCGGCTGTACTGCGGTACAGTCTATCTCACAGCGTTCGGCTGCAGTGCGATATAATCTAACTTACGGGGCTCGGCTGCACTATGACACTAAATTCATATGCAACCTCATATGTATATGTTGCAGTTCAAGTCGGAGCTAGAGTGATGTTAGTAGGTAGTGATTTCTTCAATGGGGCTAAACCGAACGAGCATCTTCTGTCGAGTTGGACGCTCTTACAGCTGACTGGCTGATTCCGACTTACAAATAATTTTACAGTGGCCCTGATTAATCCGAGAGAGGCTTGTTAACTCTGCTCTTGAGAATCCAAGTGATTTTAAATTGAAAACTGCATATTTATGAACACACGAGAACAACAATATGAAAGGTCGAGCCAAGATCAAAGGGCCAATTGCATTTAAAAAATGCCCTCAAGCATGCTACATGCAAGATGAAATGGGTCTGTAATGCAAAAAAAAAACAACATATGCTTCACTAACTTGACCCTAAAATTTAAAAACGCGACTAAATAAATAGCCACGGTCATGTTTTATATCGTACAGTCTAAACTGTAATGCCGTTCACTTCACCCCCCTGCCGTCTTTTGGATCGGATAGACGGCGATGCTTGCCGACTGTTGTGGAAAGAGAAGCTCCGTTTTCAAATAACTGGTATCCACTGATCGGTACACTTTAACTTGTCTCCTGCTGTCATGGTTATGTCTCATTTGTCTGTTTTACCGACGTCTCTCTGCTCTCGGACAGGGAGACGGAGCGCGGCCCGTGGGACCGCTCTCTGCGCACGGCCAGTAACCACACCACGTACCAGGTGACGGGGCTGCGTCCGTACACGGTCTACAGTTTCCGTCTGACTGCGGTGAACGCAGTGGGCGCCGGCCGGCCGGGACCCTCCTCCTACCCGGTCAACACGCTACGAGAAGGTGAGAGGGGAGAGGGAGAGGGAGAGGGAGAGGGAGAGGGAGAGGGAGGGAGGGAGGGAGGGAGTGAGGAGGGAGGGAGGGGGATCTCGGAAGGGACGAGAAAGGAAGAAAAGGAAAGAGTCTGCCTATTTTTGCCAGCTTTCAAACTCAGCAATTGCCTTCATTTTTACTGAATAACGGCCTTAGCATCAATTGCACGAATATTTCGCTACGCTTTTTGGATTACCTTCATAGGTGTGTGCTTCACAAGTACAGTAGTCTGAGAAGGTATCCATGCAAGACATATTGACACCAAGACCACATCGTGGACACCTCTCCCAAAATCGTCCCCTCACCGTGCCGGCGCACATACGCATCGACGCAGCGCTCGCGGAGAGCTGAGCCGTCGCCGGCCGTGAAGCTACGATCAGGGGCCTGGATTGGGGACTAGTGTTTCATCCGGGGCGGCTTCAGACCGCTGGACAAATAGCACTGAGGAGGCGGCCACCAGCCAAGTTGGCCAGAGTGGGACAAAGTCCAAATCGCCCGTATTTCCGATGCAAATGTCGTGACCGCAACATACCGATCCCATCCATTGCAGAGACGTTCCAATTCCATGGGATCACTTTACAAACGGGCTAGGGGGAGGCGGACGTATCGGAGGGGAGGTGACACTGTCAGGGTGGGAACTGGACCGCGCCCCGCCCAGTGCGCCCTGATGGCAGCAGCTGGTGCTCTTGTCCTTCTTACACCTTAACCCTCGCCGGCACAGGCCATTTTGCGTCCTTCGACGGCACAAGGGGGTTGGGGGTTGGTACGACCCCCCTCGCGTTTGGCCCCTGATCGAGCTAGAGCTTTGCGGAAAAAACGAGCGTGTTGCCCGTCACGAGACGAAGCCGATGATACCCAATTTTAAGGTCCTAGGTCATTGGTTGACCTTCCAGGTCAGGTCAATGACCCGAAAACCGGGAAAATCGGGACCTGTTAGAAAGTCGTAAAGTGTGGCTGCCATGTGGTTTTCCGGGGTGCTGATCACGAATATCGTGTTAGTTTTGATCAGAGATGATGTTTTTAAGCATTTAGACCAGGTCGGGTCAGGTCAGGTCAGGTCAACCGGTAGGGGTTGTGACGGGTATTCGTAATACGTGTCAACCGCCTCTGACAGCTTCGTAACATGTTACGAAGGCACCAAAACTACTTCGTAAATGTTCAAATGGTTGCTAAATTCAAATTCAGCTTCAAAAACTAGCCTCGAAACATGTAAAACTCGAAAAAGTGAACCGAGGTCACCCGAGGTCACCAAAGGTCAATGACCTGACCTGACCTTCAGGTGACCTTGACACCCACCCTAATGTATGGGAGCAACATCAAATCACATGTTTGAACGTTTGAAACCACGAAAAGCTTGCAAACGCGCGGCTAATGCGAGCCGACATACGCCGAATCGCGATTTCAACCAAACATGGTCACGGAAAAGAGGTCACAGGTCAAAGGTCATTGGGGTCAGGGTCATGAAATTTTCAGGGAACGTGTAAAATTGATCAATGCGAGGGTACTGAAAGTTTCGTCGCGATCGGCCGCTTTTTACGCGAGTTATTCGCGAAAAACCTTAGGGGGTTGCATCAACCCCCCCCCCCCCCTGTGCCGGCGAGGGTTAAAGGGCTCGGTAATGGAACATTTTGTGGTTGGTTGATAGTTATTAATTCTACCCTGAAAAGTACACACATGTTACCCTTTAATTCAAATGAACCGTTTAATAGAATTGAGAGAGTGTCATCATCACAAGAAAGACACTTTCATCAAGTGAAATAATACATTATTTCATCAGCATATGCTGATAAGTTCATACTGTCAAAATGGTTGGTCTTTTGCATCTCTTTGCCGTCATACTCATTGGGCAGTTAAGTGTGCCGTAACGGGTATTCAAACAGTCCTTGCTTTCCGTGACCAGTCATCATTTAGCGTCTATGTCCATGGTGCCACCGCATAGCTCCTCGTTTGCCACCGTGCTTCAGTCGCAAGGCGCCGCCTGTCACGTTAAGTTTATGTGTCTGCCGTGTGTGCATTCATCGTCACTTTGTGGGTGTCAATGGGTTTATGCCTTTTATGTGATAGTTTTTATACACGCACAGATAAGTACAGCGTAACAGATGATCTTTAAGAATGCAGGTAAAGAAATTAATGGATGTACCTTGGATGACACACGGGAAGGATTTCAATTATTCCAGTGGCATGCTGTTATTTTATTATTTCATTTTTCCTTGCCCCGCACGGACGACCTACATTCAGATTATGTAGCAGTTTTAGCTCCACCCGCATGATTCGTTGTAATCGCGGAGGCCATAACACCGTTGGTGTAAGGGAAAGCTAAGGCAACACGTGTTTTATTCCATCTCGGTGCATCATTTTCAAGCTATGTAGGTGCTGCAGGCGCATTATTACCATACATGCTACACTTTTTGCTTATCGTACCTCTAACTATGTTGCCTCTTTTTTGTGTTGTGTGAAACTCCTCTTTGATAAACTTATTTCCGTTATGTCAACAATGTTTCCATTAGAAGCCATTTTCATTAAATTGACATTCATTTGACTCAGCAACGACATTTTCCGACGGGAATGTCAAATATCTGTCAACGAGCCTAGCTGGAGCTTAATTTGCCCGGCAAGGTGGTGATTTGTTGTCCGGGATGGAAGGAAGCATTTTCACATCATATTGTTGAATGGACCAGCATGAATTATGACGTAATCTAATGCAACTGACGCCCAAACTTTCAGAATGTTACTCAAGTTCCTGTACTGTCTTTGTATGCGTTTGAAGCTTGCAAACTTTACGGCGTAGGTACTCCGCTAGTTCCACAACCTTTTTTATATTGAGCAGTCGGAGCATGGTTAGTTTTGTTCATCTGGTCCATCTGGTTGTGTCTTGAAGCGTGTCCTCCTCCTTTAGTTCCTCAATCCTCAGCCCCTTAACACCTTTTTGTTGCATGGAGTTTTAATCACCTGCCATCCATCCCATCTCTGATCCCAGAGTGGATCCGTCCCGTGTCGTAATTGGGGTCGAGTTAGCGCCCCATTGACATAAAACAGCTGTCTGTTTTCCACCGTCAGTCATCGGTTGGTGGGCTAGGTCCTCGCCAAAAATGGTCAGATCGATCAGATCAACAGGAATTTCGCTGTTTGATGGTTTGGAGAAATCATTTTCGCTGTCCTTTGCTATTGCAGCTGATTAAAATCCAGGCTGAATAAGAACGATAAAATTAAAGAGAAGAAAAATTATCCATTTTCTATGCATGTAAAATAACATTCTATAAAGCATTTTACCCACCAGGGGCGGGACGAGCCGAACGACTATCTCTTTCAATCGGATGCCATGAATGCTGGTTGCCCAACTAACTACACATATTCAGCTGCGTTTATGTGGAACAAAAGCACCCCACCTAATGGCTCAATGCTTATAGGTGTGTCGCTATCATTCCCAGCCACTGTTCTATGGTGTCCTCGCGCAGCAGCTATCGAAGTTTGTGATTGTGGAGATAACACGACAGCTGACAGCTTCTCACAGGCTACTGAAGGACATCAGCTACAGGCTTTGTTTTTAATGTCAGACCCTGTACCCAACGCTTACCAGCGCTTTAGAATGGCTCTTTGTGACGTTTACCTGCGATTTTCCTTCGCTGGCTTTCTAGTGATGAGTATCTATGAAATAATGCAGTTGTAACGCAATCTAGACAATAGACATCCATACGAACTACACGTAGCAATATTATTTGCAACATTTAGTGCCTACCTAGTGGGTTCACTGTAATAAGCTTGTATCATCGATTCATTAGCTTCTTTAGTTGGCATTATGGGCCAGCGCCAGCACTATAGTTCAACATCAGCAAAGAAAAACCACCGCACATTTTTATTGATAGCTTGTATGATCCTACTGGCTGGTCAGAGTAACTTTTTAACTCGGCTGACTGTGTGTCCTAAGTAAACCCTGATTGACTTGCTAGACATGTTTTCTGAATGTGAGCGAATGACAGTGCATCAGTCAAACATACCTACATTTTAAAAATGAAACGAAACACCATAGTGTAATAAATAACAAGTGAAGACACTTCGATTATTTTGTGTAATGCGTTTTCTTCTGCCGGAAGTGCTCTTTCAGAAAATTAACGATATCTGATGACGATTGATGACGTTTTCGTCATTGTAGTGCAAAAGTTTCATCCCTGTAGTGAAAACTTCTAATCCAAGAAACTACTATCCAAGCTTGTAGTTATATAAGGTTGGTTTTAACAGCTAATTCACTTTTATTTACGACAAAACACTGAAAATAAATCCCTCTACACGCAACTTGAAATGTAATACCACTTAAAAATAATGAGAAGACCAAAAACCTATTTTTACTACATATCTTTATAAGCTAAGAATGTCTTCTTTATGCCACAATGGGTAAAGCGTATGAACACTGGACAGGCACCAATGCATACATAGCTCGCAATACCTAGGAATTCATGCTCTCTTATCAGGCATATCGTTCGGATGCTGTGTAAATGCCGACGCAGTGTTAAAATGGGCCAAACAGCTATTCATCAACTGGGCATTTCACCGGGCTGAAACGCATCGATGTCCCCTGATTTTGCATATTATAATGCATTCAATAGGAACAATGAACATGTGATGAAGCTCATTCATTTCGCGCAATAAAAAGCATAGGTTCTCAAGTCAAAGTGAAGGAAAAGACCGATCAAAATGACTCGTATAATACAGACTTTGTTTAAATACTCTACACATCTAAGGGCCGGTACTGTTACGGTGTCCTCTATTTTTGAATATTTTCATACCGGTTCTGTCACATTGCATTCAGTGAGCGACCATACATGCAATAAAAGCAGTGGGTTCTCGAGAGTAACGTTACGGAATAGAGTGAATGCTGATGCGATGTTCAACATGTTGGGGCGCACTTAGATCGAGAAGGACTTTCATCGGGCTGTGGCACATCGATGTCCTCTGATTTTAAATATTTTCACGCATTTTATAAGAAAATATGATTATTTTCTTTCATTAAATGTAATAAAAAACATGGGTTCTCGAGTCCATGTCAATCAAAGGACCGATCAAAATGGGTAATATTTTAGGGACGTTGTCAAAATACCCTACACTTTTAGGAGCCGGTGGTCTTATGATGTCCTCTGTTTTTGAATATTTTCATACCGGTTCTGTCACATTGCATTCAGTAAGCGACCATACATGCAATAAAAACAGTGGGTTCTCGAGAGTAACGTTACGGAATAGAGTGAATGCTGATACGATGTTCAACATGTTGGGGCGCACTTAGATCGAGAAGGACTTTCATCAGGCTGTGGCACATCGATGTCCTCTGATTTTAAATATTTTCACGCATTTTATAAGAAAATATGATTATTTTCTTTCATTAAATGTAATAAAAAACATGGGTTCTCGAGTCCATGTCAATCAAAGGACCGATCAAAATGGGTAATATTTTAGGGACGTTGTCAAAATACCCTACACTTTTAGGAGCCGGTGGTCTTATGATGTCCTCTGTTTTTGAATATTTTCATACCGGTTCTGTCACATTGCATTCAGTAAGCGACCATACATGCAATAAAAACAGTGGGTTCTCGAGAGTAACGTTACGGAATAGAGTGAATGCTGATACGATGTTCAACATGTTGGGGCGCACTTAGATCGAGAAGGACTTTCATCGGGCTGTGGCACATCGATGTCCTCTGATTTTAAATATTTTCACGCATTTTATAAGAAAATATGATTATTTTCTTTCATTAAATGCAATAAAAAACATGGGTTCTCGAGTCCATGTCAATCAAAGGACCGATCAAAATGGGTAATGTTTTAGGGACGTTGTCAAAATACCCTACACTTTTAGGAGCCGGTGGTCTTATGATGTCCTCTGTTTTTGAATATTTTCATACCGGTTCTGCCACATTGTATTCAGTAAGCGACCATACATGCAATAAAAACAGTGGGTTCTCGAGAGTAACGTTACGGAATAGAGTGAATGCTGATACGATGTTCAACATGTTGGGGCGCACTTAGATCGAGAAGGACTTTCATCAGGCTGTGGCACATCGATGTCCTCTGATTTTAAATATTTTCACGCATTTTATAAGAAAATATGATTATTTTCTTTCATTAAATGTAATAAAAAACATGGGTTCTCGAGTCCATGTCAATCAAAGGACCGATCAAAATGGGTAATATTTTAGGGACGTTGTCAAAATACCCTACACTTTTAGGAGCCGGTGGTCTTATGATGTCCTCTGTTTTTGAATATTTTCATACCGGTTCTGTCACATTGCATTCAGTAAGCGACCATACATGCAATAAAAACAGTGGGTTCTCGAGAGTAACGTTACGGAATAGAGTGAATGCTGATACGATGTTCAACATGTTGGGGCGCACTTAGATCGAGAAGGACTTTCATCGGGCTGTGGCACATCGATGTCCTCTGATTTTAAATATTTTCACGCATTTTATAAGAAAATATGATTATTTTCTTTCATTAAATGTAATAAAAAACATGGGTTCTCGAGTCCATGTCAATCAAAGGACCGATCAAAATGGGTAATATTTTAGGGACGTTGTCAAAATACCCTACACTTTTAGGAGCCGGTGGTCTTATGATGTCCTCTGTTTTTGAATATTTTCATACCGGTTCTGCCACATTGTATTCAGTAAGCGACCATACATGCAATAAAAACAGTGGGTTCTCGAGAGTAACGTTACGGAATAGAGTGAATGCTGATACGATGTTCAACATGTTGGGGCGCACTTAGATCGAGAAGGACTTTCATCGGGCTGTGGCACATCGATGTCCTCTGATTTTGTGTCCACCAAGGCATTCTGTAAGAAACTGGGATTATTTACCTTCGTTTAGTGGAATAAAAAACGTGGGTTTTCATGTCTAAGTCAATTAAAAAATCCATTATGACGGGGCATGGAAGACGATGATGTAGGCCGAGGATAGCGTTCAATGATTTAGGAAGTGACGTTTTATGACGTTTTATTACGTCATACTGCAGCGTGAGTAGCTACATAGCCCACTCCCAGGTGAAGAAAAGTTGTTACACGAGTTTGCATTATAAATTGGTGAAGTGTCTTCACTTGTTATTTATTACACTATGGAAACACCGTCCTTCACGTGTTCAAACACTTTCTTTCAATTACCGTGTTAGCTATGATCAGTTTGTTTGTTAAACTGGAAGGTGAGTTTGCTATTGTCGACACGAATAGAATGCGCGGGGGTGGGGCTGCCTTACACCGAGCACGACATCGTTCGGTGTCGACCTTAGAGCTATGCAGTCAGTGTGACGCTACAGACACAATAGTGCGATGGCCACTGCCGTCGAATGGCACTTTACTGATGAATAACAGCCCTCGCATCGACCGTGCCAAGTGCAGCGCACTTTGGGACACTGCCGGCTTGGTAATGGTGAGTGGGTTCGGTGTACGCATGGACTGAGCCGGCGATATGGAGAAACGGGGTACAGGCTGGCGTGTGGTGGACTCGGCGAGCGGTTAACTGCAGTCACGGGCCCCGACAGGCACGGTTAGACTCGATTGGCGAGGCGTGACATGCTACGTTTTTGACGTGTGAGCCGGTGGATTGGGTCGTTAGACTCGGATAATGCTGTTTGACACACGGGATGTCCGTCCACCCGTCCGCACTCGTCCGTTTATTTGTTCGCATCGCCCGCATGACTCTCCGATCTCCCACCTGGCCGTATGGCTGACTGACTTGCTATTAAGTTGCTGGTCTCAACTAACTGACTGGCTGGCTGACGGGATTGACTGACTGACTGGCCGACTGACTGACTGACTGACTGACTGGTCCCGCCTGGTTAACTTGCTGGTCGCGCCTGACTGCCCCCGTCTGTTGGCCCGCCTGTCGTGTGCTGTGGCCACGAAGTGACCTGACGAGGCGGTGCCGAGCACCAGCCGGTCATCCATCAGGTGACACACCAACAACAGGCTGGCGGTCGCCGCTCTTTGGCCGTCGCCCGAATCAATTGCCGCGTCACAATGGCACACAAGGCACACACACAGCGCGCGCACACACATACAGCGCATACATACGGGCCAGGCGTCGCCGTCCGAGCGGTCAGCGGGGTTACATACTACTGAAACCTCACACTAAGACCGGCACACGAGCAAATTTAGGTCATTAAAAGGGTGTTTGTAACTTTTTACTTATTGGTATGCATTTTTGGATAATGTCGTATTTGAACTTAATTAAACCTATTAGTAGGCTTTGTAAAAAAGGCTTTGAAGAAATTTTTGATTCCGAGCAACCATACGAGCTTAGGTATTCGCTTTATAGATAAGTTAGATATTCGTCACGTTGAGTAACAATGTTTCTTTTACATTCCTAGCATGTTGGACAGGGTTTTCAGGCTCTGAAAGTTATTTTTTGTTCTATCCATCTTAGTTTCCGGGTAAGGAATTGGCACAAATCTGGCGTCTAACTGACAAGCTGACTATCTTACTAGACAAACAATGCCAACCAAAGATGCTGGAACACAAAAGTGAACCACGAAAACCAAGAAAATGTTTGGTGGTAGCCGACCGCCCAGTGCCTGTACGTTACGGGCGACCTCAGCATTTGAGCTTTTTTTTAGCATTTTGACTTATAGAGTGAGTACTTTTGACTTTCTGACCTCCAGTAACTTCTTCCAAGCTTCCGATCTCCGATATCCTTTGCTGGCCCTCTTTGACCTCCATTGACCCCTCTGCTGCCCACTGACCCTGTCTAACCTCTGGCGACCCGTAACACTGGGTGCCCTCTCTGTGTCGCAGCTCCGAGCGGCACGGTGGGTGACCTGCGCGCCGTCAGTCGCGGCCCCGCCTCGGTACAGCTCTCGTGGATGCAGGCCGATCCCAGCACGCTGCACGGAGAGTTTCTCGGCTACCAGCTGACCTACCGCGCACCGGCTACCGGTGCCAACCATACGCTGGTCATCATGGAACAGAACGCCACGGTAAGCAGTCAGCACCAACCACACGCTGTTCATCACAGAGCAGAACGCCACGGTAAGCAGCCGGCGGCTCGTCCGGCAGGGTTATACTTAACAACATGGAAAGATACCACAGTCGGGGAAACTGTGGTCAAATCTTCCATTTTTGGAAGCCTTCCATTTTTGGAAGGATTTTCCATACTTGGGTACGCATCTTCCAAAAATGGGTACGCTGACGACGTCATCGTACCCAAATATAGAAAATGTTGCGCATATGTTGGAGCTTACTGATTTCCGCCGAAGATGAGGAAAATGCGACTATCGCCCCTGGTCGCTTTCAATTCGCCATAGTGAAGTGTACATAATTTAGCGTGGATGTCTAAATCCTAGCGTGGATGTAATTTATGTAATTTTTCAAAGTAATGAGTCGTGGAAAATTGACAAAGATTTACCCACAATCGATGGTTTTATAAGTCTATATCAAACATTTTGTAAGCAAAAAGCATCAAAAACGAAAAGTAAATATCCTTAAAAGTACTTTAGTGATGGGCCATGCTTGTTTGATACCGCCGACTTTGTTTACAGTGCGGAATTGTCGGGACGGAGTGCGGGGGCCCCGGGAGGGTAGTGGCGAGTAAAACATGTATTTGTTGCTGTTTTCTGCATTTATTATCATATTGCGTGGTTGATTTCAAATTTTTAAAGGGACCCTCCCACCTTCAAAAAAGTTAATGAATTGGCATGAAAGTGATGTCGCTCGGTTCAAAAAGAGCAAAAACGAATCTCTACCAAATTTCATCGAAAAATATTCACCGGTTTTCAAGATATTAGACTTTTACTTTTGTTTACTTTTTGGGATCTCCGCTGTTCCTAGCGACTTTATTTAAAAGTGCGGCATTTGTTGCGCGCAAAGCAGCATATACCACCGCGTGCTACAAAACGTTTTAGTCAAACTTAATGACGGACGTTCGAAAGCCTGATGACGTCATCAGATTCCCGTAATGGTTAAGAGATAGGGACCACGCTGGTCCCACCCTGCAAGTAAAGGGAAGAAATTTCTTGAACACCATAAAGCTGCGGGGGTTGCGACCAGGATAAATGGTGGTTTCTGAGCCTGGCCGCAAACTTGGCTATCTCAACTCAAAACTAATGTTAAGGTGGGAGGGTCCCTTTAAGGCTTTTGCCGAACATTTGGGTAGAGGTCTCGTCATTTTTTCAATGTTTTCCCGGAATATGGGACGAATTAAATAGGCGTTGGTGCGCCGTTTTTCGTGTTACTTTCTATGGAAGGAGCGTGAATCTTCAATTTATATGAGGGATAGTTTAAACCATTTTTTTTTTGTCAAGACTATAGCTGTGTTCCTCCTGGTTTGTTGCGATTCCAAGTCGAATGCGTAGCGAATGAAACCCAAAAAAAAGTTATAAATACACCAAGCGGATGTATTTTAATCAAAGTCCGGGCAAACCCAGCTCTAAACACCGGAGAAAACAGTGACCCTGCCGTCCGCGCTTCAGGAGTCGCCAATCGCAATAAACAGATGCGGCCACAGTGCCGACTCGATCCTTAAATAGGTACAAGTAAATACTCGAGATAGGCTCGAGCGCTACCCCGCAATTACCAACCCTTTAATAGGCTCACAGCCGTATAATTATGAGCGCCCGTACTTGGCACGCTAAATGGTTAATTTCAATACAGCACCATTAATAGCAGCAGACGATCAGCCCACAGACGTTCACGTTTTAACTGCCGCATCAATGGCGCTGTGTTTTGGTGGTCGGGACAAAATGGGTGTGGGGTGGAGGCTAGCCGACAGACGTAGTCTCCAATTTAGATTCTCGAACGCATATGCGCCGCGGGGAACGCCGACAGACTGCCCACAGACGAGCCTGCCAACGCCCCGCAAACGGATATAGATTCGAGAGCCCAACACACCCAGCCGCAGCAAGGACCGTTGCGCGACTGCCCTCCGCCGGCGCGCCCTCACCCGACCTCGCCTCACAATCACGTGGTCAGCAGCCGACCAATCACTGCACGAGTCCGCGCCGCACAGCCCCGCTCCAGCGAGTGATGCTGTGCCGCAATACAGCGGCCGCGCGTCGGCCGGGAAGCTCAGCCGGCGGCCGGGCGAATCACTGATCACAGCAAGATACAAACATTAGCTTAAACCACTCATGACCGAATTTCAACATTCTCCCCACCAAAAAATGGGGGTTACCACATTTTTTTCCACTCAAATTCACTCGGGAGAGTACCGCTTCACTCGCATGGTCCTCTTAGCCGCGACGACACCATCGGCGCTCCGAGGCTTCGGCGCCCGCTCGGGCATCCTTCGAGCGGAGAGGCCATCACTCCGACGCGTCGAAAGGCGCGGCACCTCCAGACGCAGCACCGGGACCGACGTGCCAGCCACGCAGGCCCAGCAGCAACGGGCGCACCGCCGCATCCCTCGGGCAGAGAGGCGGTCACTCCGACGTGCCGAAAAACGCGGCACGCCCAGCTGCAGCACCGGTGGGTCCCAGCACGGCGCGGCAGCCACGGGGGTCCAGCAGCGCTGGACGCACGGTCGGTGGGAAACACTGAAAATAAGAAAGAAACAAACACTCCGTAAATAAAGGGGAAACAAAGTCACTAAGCAAGGCAATCATGGCAACAGGGCCACTGCCAAATGGCCACAGATTCAGCCGCCAGACTGAATTTGCCCTCACAAATTGTCCCTTTTTACCCAACCTTAACCTAACTTAACTAATAATACACTAGCCTCGTGGGCTCACTTTGGCTGCCTCAGGGCATCGCCTTCTGGTTAATCAGTCTTTTCAGCCCCACGAAGCTCCCCCCAAAAGCCTCCCCACCATGGGGCAGCCTCAGGGATGAACCTCCATTTGACATATCTGGGAAGGTCAAATGTAAAAGGGCGCGTTGCGGTGGATCCGCCGTCGACGGCGCCACCGATGCCACCGCCAGATCCCGCCGGGGTGCTTCCTCTGCACCGACGGGATGGGTCGGGGGGCGACGATCGAGGGCGCCTCACGGCACCACGACGGCCGGGAGCGGCGGCCATATGTCGGCCTCTCGTCAGAGCCCCAGATCGGGGGCGGCTCATGGAGCTTCTCACCCCACATCAGTTGTGAGTTGGAGCGAGAGTCGTTCAGCTCGGTATCACCGATGCCAGTTGGGCTCGCGTCCAGGTCGGCAGCATCGTGCCGACTTGGAACGCACTGGCTCATGTGGGGACCACCATTGTCTCCACCTTTACAACCGTGGATCGTCTCGACGGCTCTCGGCCCGTCAGCAACCTCCAACTGATCCCGTGGGACGACCTGATACACGTTATCAGCCTCCACAAGGACGTCAACCTCACCACCCCGGAAATCATCAGCCGTCTGGATCTCAGACGGCAACCGAGGTGGCTGAGCAGTTGGGAGCGGTGAGCACAGCACGTCTGTGCTCATCATGTCAAGTTTGACTGACGGTCCACCGAAACGACTTTCAAGGTCAACCTGATCTCGATCATTGGTACAAGGCTGCTCGGTTCTCTCATGGAACCCGATGCAGACAAATGTGTCGGAGCCCTTCTCAGGTAGTCCCAGCTCCTGAGCCAGGGAGCTCCTGACATAGGAGGCGTCACATCCTCCATCAAGGAAATCACGTGCCGGCGTGCGGCCATTGGGACCTGCTGCCACAACAGCAGCGGTTTGCAAGAAGCTCTTTCCTGTAGAGCTGACATTGTATCGGTGACGGCTGGGCAGCTCAACACCGTGCGTCTCAGCCTCTGCACAAGTATCCGAAGCAGAAGGCTCAGTGGGCGGCAGTGGCTCAGGGTCAGGCCTCAACTCGGAGACAGGTGAGGACGAGCGCTGCGCCGCAAACTCTGCATCATGCAACAGCGAGTGATGCTGGCGGCCACGCTCAGCACACGGACTGCCCAGACATTCCCTGGCCAGGTGTTCAGAGTCGAGGTCTCTGGTGGTCACCGAGAACGTTGCTGGTGGGTCAACAGCAGAGCATTCACCATTCGGGCCCCTAGCAAGCTCTCTGACCCGAATTTCCTCCTTCAAAAACACCAGGAAGTCATCAAAGTGGTGACTCGATCGCCGGGCCCACTCCAGACGCCAGTCTTCGGGGATATTGCCCTTCACCATGGGCAGCAGCAGGCTGGATAGGCTCTCTGAGGAGACACCCAGAGTGCTGAGAGCTCTCGTGTGCGCAGACAGGTGATCTATGAAGGATCGCATGGCCTTCAAGTCACCGTAGCGGACTGATGACATGTTCATCAGCTCCTTCAAGAGAGTCTCCCGTCGCACATTCTCGAGGTCAAATCGCGCTTTCAGAGCTGACACCGCCTGCACATACCCGTCACCCGTGACTGGGATGCCCTGGATGGCCCTCAATGCCGCTCCGGCAAGATGCGACTTTAAGACCACGAATTTCTGCACGTTGGCATAGCACTGGTTGTCGTGCACAGCAATCGAAAACAGTTCCCAGAACTCGGGCCATCTCATCACATCACCATCGAATGTGGGGATCGCCACGGTGAGAGATGATTTCAAATCGGCGCTACCAGCTGCCTTCATCGACTCTGCCCTGAACTGGGCCTCCTCTGCCTTCTCGAGGCGAGTCAAAAGGCGAGAACCGAGGAAAGCCTCATCCTCCAGAGTCTGAACATGATTTGTCTCATCGGCTTGACCCTGTTTGTCCAGCTGAACCTGTATGCCCTGTAACTCAGTCTGGATCTTCTCCACGTGGTGGAGTTTTAGGGCAAGCTGATCCGGGTCTAGCGCTTTCCGATCTCCCTCCCTGTAGGCTCGGAGATCGTTGCACGCTTTAGTAGCCTTTGTGCGGAGACGCGACCTAGCAGCCAGTAGCTCCTCCATGTTTGAGTGAAATGGGAACTAAATCAAAGTACAAAGTGGACTGTATGTTCAAAACAAACCATCAATTTACCCAGTGGACTCAACAAATTAAATGTCCGGTAGCCATGGGGACTGTGTCCTCCACTGAATAAATGATCCGGCCCGGAGGACTATGTTGCGATTCCAAGTCGAATGCGTAGCGAATGAAACCCAAAAAAAAGTTATAAATACACCAAGCGGATGTATTTTAATCAAAGTCCGGGCAAACCCAGCTCTAAACACCGGAGAAAACAGTGACCCTGCCGTCCGCGCTTCAGGAGTCGCCAATCGCAATAAACAGATGCGGCCACAGTGCCGACTCGATCCTTAAATAGGTACAAGTAAATACTCGAGATAGGCTCGAGCGCTACCCCGCAATTACCAACCCTTTAATAGGCTCACAGCCGTATAATTATGAGCGCCCGTACTTGGCACGCTAAATGGTTAATTTCAATACAGCACCATTAATAGCAGCAGACGATCAGCCCACAGACGTTCACGTTTTAACTGCCGCATCAATGGCGCTGTGTTTTGGTGGTCGGGACAAAATGGGTGTGGGGTGGAGGCTAGCCGACAGACGTAGTCTCCAATTTAGATTCTCGAACGCATATGCGCCGCGGGGAACGCCGACAGACTGCCCACAGACGAGCCTGCCAACGCCCCGCAAACGGATATAGATTCGAGAGCCCAACACACCCAGCCGCAGCAAGGACCGTTGCGCGACTGCCCTCCGCCGGCGCGCCCTCACCCGACCTCGCCTCACAATCACGTGGTCAGCAGCCGACCAATCACTGCACGAGTCCGCGCCGCACAGCCCCGCTCCAGCGAGTGATGCTGTGCCGCAATACAGCGGCCGCGCGTCGGCCGGGAAGCTCAGCCGGCGGCCGGGCGAATCACTGATCACAGCAAGATACAAACATTAGCTTAAACCACTCATGACCGAATTTCAACATGGTTGGTTATTGACCACCTGTTTTCTCTTCTGAATTCCCATGTGTCCTCTAGAAGTAGAAAAAGAGAGCAGTGCACCAGGACACCATGCTATTATATCACTATGTACATTGACATAGCATGCCTGTATTACCAACACTAGCACTTGCTGCTTCTCCTTATATCAATGATCATAAAGCGTATTTACAAATTGCAACCGAGCTCCGCCGTAGGGTATTTTATTTCCGCCGTAGTGTATTTCAGTTGGGGTATTTTCTACCATTCATCTGCCTGAGCTTGGGGTAATTACAATTTGTCAGCGACGTTAAAAATGATGCACTTTTTTCGCAGTATAGGTTATCGCATGTGCATATTTTTGCCTTTTTGGTTGCGCTTTTCCCTCGGCCGTATAGGGGGAGGCGTTGAGCGGACCCCATCGGTTTTTCGTGAGTAACTCGCGTAAAAACTGTCCGATCGCGACAAAACTTTCAATACCCCCGATTTTATCAATTTTACTCCTACCCTGAAAATTTCATGACCCTGACCTAAACGACCTTTTACCTGTGACCTATTTCTCGAGACCATGTTTGGCCCGAATCGCGATTCGGCGTATGTCGGCTCGCATTAGCCGCGCGTTTGCAGTCTTCACGTGGTTTCAAGCGTTGAAACATGTGATATGATGCTGGTCCCATGCATTAGGGTGGGTGTCACATGAAGGTCAGGTCAGCTCAATGACCTTTGATGACCTCGGTTCACTTTGCGAGTTTAACATGTTTCTAGGCTAGTTTTTGGAGCTGATTTCGAATTTAGCAACCATTTGAACATTACAGGGGGTGTAACGAAATTATCCGGACATCTTTCTTCCCGCTGTAATTAAAAAGCAAAACATTCTGGTACTTTTTATTTTGACTGAGCATGTAGCCAGTTAGCCACCTTTCATAAAAACACAGTGGCGAATGTTTTGGAGCATTTTAGCCAATGGATTCTCCAGCACACTGGCTTTGATGCGGACCAACGCCGTCTAAACCTGTGCCTGCGGTTGGGCGGTGCTTGTGGCGGGCGTCTCTTCAGTCACCTCCTGAACAAGAGCCCACAGGTTTTCGATTGAATTGGGATCGCGACTTTTTCCAAGTCATAAGCGTTAGCCCAGAATGATTGAAGGTTCTATCGGCATCACTTCCCATTCTTTTAGGGACTTAGAAAAAGTAAAAGTAGAAAAAGTAGCGCGCCGCCCCGCATGAAGACAGCGTGGCTTGAATCAGGCATCAGTGCGCGTTCAGAAACCGAGCCCTCCTATACCGTCTGGTTGAGCGCCTCCGACTATTCATTGGCCAGTATGTTTCCCCGGTAATTCTTGACGTTGATGGCGGTATTATGTGACACTATGTCTTATTGGAGGATCGCTAGGCAGCCGAACATGCTCCAGTTCTGGATATTATCCGGATGTTTGACGGCGGCGAAGGCCAGCAAGTTCGAGCGGCTGGCCGCCCATACATGGCCGATTTGACGGTTCAAAGGATAATACAGCTCGAACGGCTACCCATCCAACCAGACCACCTCACCCTTATCATTCTTCAACCAGTGGACGCGATCTGGCGTGAGGCGAAAGGTGGTGAACTGGTTGTTTTCCCGTCAGTTTCGTTGTCTTTTTCAGTTTGAAGGGCACTAGAACCAAGTTAAAGGGCGGGTAGCGGTAAACCATGATATGGGATCTCTTATTATCTGACTTGGTAAGAATTCGAGTCAATTTGCGGATTGATTGGTGCCATTTCCTTGCCGCTATCTTGATGACTCTCCTCACCACTTGACAAAGGGCGGCTTTTGTGGTCGCGACCGGGCTGAGTCTGCCACCAAAGTCCCAGCTTATTACACCTCAGGCAGATGTGCAGTTGGCTGCTGCTGATGTCCAGCTGCTGGCAGACCAGCTTCTGGCTCATGACGCCGTGGATGCCGCCATGCAATTTTACCACGAAAGGAGAGATTGTATCCCTTTCTCGCAACTGCCTTGGACGAAAACTACCATGTGAACCCGTCTGTGAATCGACTCCTACTCAGAGCAACAGTCACATGACAAGGTCAGGTCACTGCTGAGTTGAAAACCGATAGCAGAGGCACGTATTCATCAATATTCCCAATCCCACTTCTAACATCAGAAAGGATTAGGAAACTGTGCAAACAGATATGGCGAAAAAATAGGTGTCCGGATAATTTCGTTACACCCTGTACTGAAGTAGTTTTAGTGCCTTCGTAACATGTTACGAAGCTGTCAGAGAAAAAATAGCGTTCTACCCCTCCAACTTTTGCTTATTTGTAGAACTTCGTAGCTTAGCAAACCAGTATGTTGTTTGCATTGAGGAGCTTTGAAATGTCTGTGTAATTCAAAATGTTAGTTCTGTAATTAAAAGAATTGATTCAGTGTTGCACATAATCTAACTTATCAACCGAGCATTGCAGGTTTGACAGCTTTTTGCCCCACCAGCACCACCTTTCCTGGAAAAGCTCCAACCTTGCCTATGGGGCAAAACATAAGAGACAAAAACACATTTAACAAGACAGATAAAAAACAAAACAAAATGAACTCATTACCTAATGAAGTTCAGTCTGGAGCAAAAACATAGGTAATAGGTATCTATGTCAAATTAGAATGAAAGATTAAAATCAACCTGATCAGGTCTTACGGTCTGACCTGATCCTAACCGCCTTACTTCACCTAAATTAACCCAATTCAACCTAACCTACCACAACACCTGCAGAGGTACCTTCCTGGAAAATGATGCCCAGGGAGGTGTCCAACTTATTGGAATATTACCATGATTGCTTGTCAAAATGTGTGTCATCATGCTCTTGTTTGACAAGTGATGTATAGTAAATGTGACATTCAAAAATGGTCTTCTGACTGTTGAGTGATCAGAATATTCAATTAATCAGGGTACAATGCTGTGCATCATAGTGCACACTAATCATGTTGTTTTTGTGTAGGCCCTCTGCACATTATTGTGTACACTGCCATGTGCACCTTAATGAAAAAAGTGACTGGTGGTACATGAAAAAGGTTGTGCAACTGTGAAGTTCATGCCCTTGGTCTTGCTGGAGTCAAATGCCTATAGCTATAGCAGGATCAGTGAGGGTTGTAGACATGCTACATACACTGTGAATTGAAGATATTGGCACAAAGTTCATCCATAATTACTATGCTTAACACCTAATGTAAGAAGCAACATAAATGCCCAGATGATACAGCTCTCTGGTCAACATCACACAAATTTATTGACATACTTTGCAGGTACATATTTACATTCATAGCAAATACTTTCGATTTGATTCAATAACTAGCCAAACTAGGTGCTGGTAAGCTTGCATTTTTGTAGGTACAACAATGAACATACATTTAATCATAAAAAACTTTCTCCTGGCATTCATCACATACCTTTTTACCGAACAAGTACCTATCTACCATGCAATGATTCTAAATTTTGTCTGCAATCCACCTATATCTCAACTGACACATTGAAATTGAAATACCCTAACAAAACCTAGAACTGTGCAAAAGAAGAATGCAATGCTACAAGAACTATAAAGTTCTGAAGTTATTCTCACATGCTGGAATGTTGGAACTCTACTTTTGTCGTCCATTTCCACGTTTGACTGAGCCATCATATAGAAGTTTTCGCTCTTCAGTCATAAGCTTTTGCACAAATCTTGAATTTTTACACATCATCTTGAACCATGCTCCAGTCTTTCCAACAAGGTAATATGAAACATCAAAGCAATTTCGATTTGTTACAACAGCTTCAGATCATGATAGGCTTGATGTTTGTTACACCATTTGCCAGACAAACCTCTACAAAATGTGTATCAATTCCCAAACTAAGCAATTGATAATATCAGTATTTGCAGTTTCCACACAATGTTTCATAATATTATTCGATTTTTATATCAAGAAACCCAAATAATCCACAAATTGTTATTGAAACACTCCCACTTCGAGAGTTCACAGCAATAACAATACAAGCTCAGAAGCAAATAAACATTGCGCCAGATTTCGTATGAAACGCGCCATCATCCTGAAGTTTCTACCACAGACGGTAGTTCAACCGCAGCCGTAGTGCGAAAACCCCTGCCCACCTTACCCCACGGCGGAGCTCGGTTGCAATTTGTAAATACGCGATCATAAATGGCAAAATCAACTATTAATGTTATACATTTAAAGAGGCCGTAACTTAAATCAAAGGATGGGAATCACAGTTTGGAACACTGAGATTAGGCCTTCCAATTTTGGAAGCCTTCCATTTTTGGAAAATGCATACCCATTTATGGAAGGCCCTTCCAAAAATGAAAGGCTTCCAAAAATGGGAGATTTGACCACAGTTTCCCCGGGTGAGACTAAATGCTTACTTTGAAATCTAAGCTGTGTTGCGGCATTGGCGGTTATGTGCGGCGTGTATGCCGCATGATTAGTAAGCGGCGACCACTAAATTAAAGACTTAAACGCTCCAACCTGTTTTCAATGAATAACACTGCATACCAAAAATGCCAATCGCTCTCGTCATAAGATATTTAGATTTAAATAACTAAGTTATCTGCATCATCATTTTGAACCAAATTAATGCCTTCAACTTAGTAGGTACTCACTCATTCCTTCCTTCGTTGGCTCCAAACAGTCTTTCGATTGTCTGGAAATCGTATGCCAAATCCCGCACCTGTATACGACTGGTGCATATAAAGGCCGATGTAAGAATTTCAATAGGCTCTCGCATGCGATTTCCTGGCTACCCAAAAAGTCTGTTTCAGTCATGCTATCAAAACATGGTATGTCAGCCCTGTCACCAGCTTATGACTGCTCTACTTGTAGTGCCCCTGACCGTCACCGACTCCCTTCCCTCCTTAAAAGCCTAGTTTCCCTCCATCATCTCTACTAGATTTAGGTGATGCTCCGACAAATTCACAAACAAGACCGAACTTGTTCGGAGTTCGGACTGTGAGTTAACCCTCGCCCTTAAGGGGGGGGGGGGGGGGTCGAACGGACTCCCCTCGGTTTTTTGCGAATAACTCGCGTAAAAAGCGGCCGATCACGACGTAACGTTTAGTACCCTCGCGTTGATCAATTTTACACCTACCCTGAAAATTTCATGACCCTGACGCAAATAACCTTTGACCTGTGACCTACTTTTCGAGACCATGTTTGGCCGGAACCGCGATTCAGCGTATGTCGGCTCGCATTAGCAGCGCGTTTGCAGTCTTTTCGTGGTTTCAAGCGTTCAAACATGTGATATGATGTTGCCCCCATGCATTAGGGTGGGTGTCAAGGTCACCTGAAGGTCAGGTCAGCTCATTGACCTTTGGTGACCTCGGTTCACTTTTTCGAGTTTGACATGTTTCTAGGCCAGTTTTTCGAGCTGAATTCGAATTTAGCAACCACATGAACGTTTACAAAGTAGTTTTGGTGCCTTCGTAACATGTTACGAGGCTGTCAGAGGCGGTTGACACCTACCACAAATACCCGGCAGGACCTCTACTGGTTGACCTGACCTGACCTGACCCGACCTGGCCTAAATGAATGAAGACATCATCTGTGATCAAAACTAGCATGCTATTCGTGATCAGCACCCCGGAAAACCCCATAGCAGCCACACTACGACGTTCTAACAGGTCCCAATTTTCCCGCCTTTTGGGTCATTGACCTGACCTGGAAGGTCAACCGATGACCTAGGACCTTAAAATTGGGTATCATCGGCTTCCTCTCGTCACGGGCAACACGCTCGTTTTTTCTGCGAAGCTCTAGCTTGATCAGGAGCGAAACGGCAAGGGGTTATACCTTATACGTTCGCAGCTGGAAAAACACCAATACGGGCGAGGGTCAAGTTGAAAGTATTAATTTGGTTCAAAACGATGATGTAGATAAGTTAGTTATTTAAATCTAAATATCCTATGACGAAAGCGATGGACATTTTTGGTATGCAGTGTTATCCATTGAAAACAGGTCAAAGCTATTGAGTTTTTAATTTAGTGGTCGCCGCTTACTAATCATGCGGCATACACGCCGCACATAACCGCCAATGCCGCAACGCAGCTTAGATTTCGAAGTAAGCATTTAGTCTCACCCAGTTTCCCCCACTGACCAGGGTGAATCAGTGCAGCCTTCCTTTGAAGCGATCTCGCCGTGCGCAATTGCGATCTATGATGATTATTAGTACGCAAGTACGATCCTCATCGTTATTAAGCCTACCTTACTTTCGAAGCTTTACAATTGTAACAAACTAACAAGCACATATATTGATGGGGCTAATTTTCACCACTTCCTAGAGCAATGGCCTCGTCTTATAAAATGACTCACCTTTGTCTTCTGCAACTGGCTCTTCTCGATGGCCCTTCAGTGCCAGTTCAAGAGACAATCAGCACGGGATTGCATTAGACGGGTTTCTTTGCTAATTTTCCTTACATCATTATAGTGCTTTGAAATGCAGATGTGAGCCCATCCGGCTCCTGAGGATATAGTTGCTACGAAATCTGAGGAACGTACGAGTACAAGTACGCATTCAAAGTAGATCTTGCTTCAGAGAAATGATGCTAAGCAGTAAGCAGGCTGTTCTTTATGTGATAAATTGTTTGACATTGGAGTCCGCAGGATGTAGAATGCTTGCTTACAGCTTTATTTTATGAGATGGAGATGAATGAGAGACGAGGAGATGAGTTATTAGATATTAATGGAGATGAGTGGTCTTAATTGCTACATTGTGGCAGTGCAGTACGAATTTTCACTCTTTTTCGCCTCATTGTAGGTCGGAAGCTACTCATATGTGTCTCATGATTGTCCGATGCTGACGAGCGGTGAGACTCGGCCGTTAGACTATGTTTCTGTGCCGTTCCAGACGCTGGTGGTGACGGGTTTGGAGCCGTTCACCGAGTACCTTTTCAGTCTGTCCATAAGGAACCCGCGCGGACTGGGGCCGGTCGCCCGGGTCACAGGTCGAACCCAGCAGGCAGGTAGGTCAGAGCCCAGAGGTCAGCGAACAGGAGTCAGAGATCAGCGGGAAGGGGTCAAAGGTCAGTAAGAAGGGGTCAAAGGTCAGTAAGAAGGGGTCAGAGGTTAGAGAACAGGGGTCAAAAGTCAGTGGGAAGGGTCAGAGCCAGAGGTCATCTTTCTTATTCAAAAGCAAACTTCTGAAATTATGAAAGAGCAAGATACCTTTTGTAAAGAATGTGGTTTCTACGAGGAAGATTGGAACATTACCTTTTTAATAAATAACTTTATCACCGAATAAGATGACTTAATGACTCAATCTCATGACTAAACATCAACATGTTATAACTTGATGTTTCCCGTGAAAAAAGTTTCCAGCAGCTGTGCCCAAGTACTGCATCACTACACTGTCGAAGCTGGAAGGCCAATGGACATTTCATAACCCTTGATGACACCATTTACCAGCGGAGAGCACCAACTTTAGCCATTTAGAGCGCACACACCTCGCTCCAGTTCTGTAATAATTAATACGACTGACGCCGACTTTGTGTGGGACAGTTTGACAACTTGCCCAATGAATTTTCAATCCGCGGACGTATGTGAGTTTTGCAGCCACACAGGGCAGGTGGCCGAAAACAAAATGGCAGAACTTTGGCCAATCCATCGCAATGCAAACGCTGTGTCGCGACCGCCGCGTCCCAGCCGCTCCGCTCGGCCGTCCGCCACCGAGCCGGCTCCATCTCGAGCGGAGCTAGAGCGGCTCACCATCGTCGGAATGGCCGTGTCGTCGGTCGTTTGAGCTGCCGCCGGGCCGTCTGATCGTGCCGTCGGTTACAGCGCCGGCGGCCGGAGCAGTGTCGCCCCCACTAGCGCGGCCAAGTTGGGTAATTGGTGGATTGTCCGCGGCCGGAGACCGCCTCGGACAGCCCCGCGGCCGGCCAGACGGCAATCGTGCCAACTTGTAGGGAATAATGACAAAAAGTGCCCAATAAAATGCCGTTTAAGTAGCATAGGAGTTTCATCGAACTCGGAGAACTCGCTTCTTGAATTTAATTATTCGAACTAGCGGGAGAACATCCTGAGTTATACACTAGTAAAGACGGTGAATGGTTGCTCTTGCTTGCCCCTGCTCGTCTAATAAATGGACTACATACATTCACAGTTCTATTTCCAACATTTATTTCCTCCGGGGTAAATAACGGTAACACGTGAATTATACCACTGAATGTTAACCTGGTATGTCGGAGATGAAATGAACGCTACTAGAACTTCCCTTATGTCATGGAGCATGAATCTGATGTCCATAATTCCAAGATGCTCCGTCGTTGCGGATACGCCTATGTATGTATGGCACAGTGACACCTTCCAGTGTGCTAGCAGACATGCTAAAGAGATATGTCAAGCAGGGTGTCTTAACCCGAATGCAATAGCGATGCTATGCTCAAACCACGATATAAATATCCATTCGAGATCTGTTGTCGATTTATGACACGCTTTACGTCCCGGCTGCTCTACAGCCCATGACGCGATTGGTGAGGTCTGATCTATAGCTGTCTGTCATATCATCAGCTGTATAGTTGTTGAGTTTGTATATGTTTTCGCGCAATTAATCTATGTTGTAGCTAGCGGTCGTAACTGTTCGCCGCGTGCGTGTCGCCGACGGCCACGGTAGCGCCGGCGCGCCGGCGGGCCGTGCGGCACAGTATGTTTGGCGGGCCAAACATACTGTTTGGCCCGCCAAACATAGGGCCGCGGCGCTCGGGCGCGCGGTGATTGGCGGTCGCTCACATGTCACGTAACCCGCAGTGACCTCCGGTCTGTCCGGGAGGAGCGGGCCACTCGTGTCTCAGCATTCGTCTGGACCGGGTCGGTCGCAATGTGCGTTAGCCTCCAGAGTAGCCTTGCCGGGCTCTCCGGGCCGTAGCACTTGTGGCCGCCGAGTGCAGGAAACGGACTTGTTGGTCCTTTCTTGAGAGGTTCACTCGGCCTAAATTGACACCTAACCTTTTTTGGCACCCAAATCCAGACAAGAGCATTGCATGATGCAGATAACAGACGTGTATCTCGTTGACGCCGTCTATGCTGCATCATCAATGCTCCCTATTCCCAAGTCACTTAAAACCGTGCATTTCGCCTGGGTGCACGTTTCACGGCGAAATTAGAGGGGCAGTCCGTGAGCCCCGCCGTGAGCGCATGAGAGTAAACAATGAGTTGCATATGATTTGTGCCATATCACAATTGTACCCGATCGTTTGGTGATACGGTGACTGCCTCTCGAGATTGCATTGCCTGTTGGTGTCGAAGCTGGTGCACCACAATACAGCACTGAGGTCAAATCCATGTATGTTCTTTTATTATACCGGCGCAACGAACGGACGGATTCTTAACAAAAGTGACACCTGACATTACCGACCCACCGCGGAACACTCCGTCCGTCGACAGCCTCACGGGCTCTGGGCGCGCCTCGGAGCGGCGCGGAGGCAGCGCCCGTCACCGCTCGTATCCGTCCGTCTGACGTGGTACCGTCACGGTCTGTCACGAACCCATCACGAGCCGTCACAGTCGTGACGCGGCGGGTGACTGGTGCACCGAGTGAGCCCCCACCCGGGCCAGCAGAGCCGGGACCGCGGCACGACTTTTCAGACTGTCAATGGCCCGCTGAATAATTCACGCGCGCAAGGCGGCCCCAGCAGCCAGCGGCGCCGGGCCATTTCCTAAAACCTCGGTCGCATTCAGTCAACTGCTAAAGATTTAATAAAGCCTCACTGGCAATCGGCTGGGTGGCCAAGATTAGCCCCGCTTTGCATGGAGGTGGCTGGGCCCGAGAGGGTCTCATTAGGATATGAGATAAGAGTTGGCTGGAGCGTGAAACGCGAATCGAGTTGGATCACCGGACGAGGCAGGTTGTTAATTTCTAGGTTTAGGCTAATTTCTGCTAATCTCATGTCACAATGCAGAGGGCATGGCTGATACAAATGACTATTTAGCGCAGCTTTGGCTTAATTGACTAGTTCAGCAGTTTAATTTAGTAAGTATGTACGTGATAGAATGCCTTGACAGCGGCAGGGCCTTTGATGCATTCGAGTAGGCTTACTTTTAAATACATTGCTTATTTTATGGGACTTTGTCACGCAGATGATGGTTAACCCAGGCTCTTTTGCAAAATAGCAGCAGACGCTGAAGCTCTAGTGCAGGGATTTACCCATCTCCAAGCCCTTGCTATTCCCCTGTCTTCATCTCTCTGACTCTGACTCTGACTCTGCCCTTCCTCTCTCCTCAGCGCCGGGCCCGCCGGCCACGGTGCGTTACTCCAGTGTGGGCAGTACGTGGGCGGCCCTGATATGGACCCCTCCTGCCGAGAGGAACGGGGTGCTGCTCTACTACACTGTGAACATCACACGGGACGCCGGCGGCGAGCCTGACCTGCGCCGGGTGCCGGCCACCGAGGAGACCTGGGTCCAGTACCAGGTGGACGGACTCCGTAAGTAGCGAGGACGCGCAGTGACGGAGTCCGTCAGTACGAAAATGTGTCGGGCGCAGTGACGAACTCAGTGAGAAGGCTTCCTTTAGTTACGCGACTATGTGGGTGAGCACAAACTTGAATGGAACGGAACTCAGCATTTCAGGCTTGCTATATGCGCTACGAGCAAACAGTATAAACTCTGCAGTAAGACAGAGGTGGGCTTTGGCCTTTCCGTGCTTCTATCCTCAGGATACAGAAATCCTCCTCCTCCACGCCGCAACCCCACTCCGGGCTGGACAGGCACCTTTATCTCATGCGGGCTGCTCCCTTGGAGCGGCACCGCAGCTCCCGAGGGAGCGCACCCCGTAGCCGGGTGCAGAGAGTGCTTGGGGGGCTGGTTGGTCTGTCCATTTGGACGGGCTCAGCCCCGGCGACTCTCTAGGGTGTCTGCCCAGACCAATGTCTCCCCCTAATTCCTATTATCCTTCCGGCTCTGCAATGGTCTTGTCAGACCGAAAGGGCCTAACCTAAAACAAAAAAAAAAAAAAGAAAAAAAGAGGTGGGCAATACCTATGTAATCGGGTTATCGATGTTATATCTACTTGTCCAGAATGGTTATGTTCTAGGCTGAAGGTGCGCTTTCTGAATCTTTTTTTACCAACTCACTACAGTGCAGTATAAGCACAAAAATCGTTATCACTTACGGGATTCTGACAATTGTGCTGTTGTGGATATTAGCAATGTGCTTATTAAATTTGCTACAGCATGGCGTTTTTATGAAGGATATTAACAGGCCATTCACACCATGAATTGGCCTAATAAACACATTCAGCTGCATCAATGACCGAATGTCATCACAAAACATTGACCGGAAGCGGATTGCGGAAGCGTGCTTCGTGTGTATTCTAGAGTGGGATTTGAACTAGTGCATGCCTTCGACTTGCAAGCTCAACCTTCTAAAACATTGGATTCAGTAAACACAGAAATGGGCATGATCTAGTGTACATGCAATTACGTCACACACCCACAATGTACACATTTTCATTCATTCATTCATTCATTCATTCATTCATTCATTTATTCATTCATTCATTCATTCATTCATTTGCTTGTTGAGGTCAGAAGCATCTGTTCCTGGTGCATGGCCAAATCTCGTAGTTTTGACCTCAGTATTTTTTCCGCATCTCGGCCTGACCGACAGGGGAATACTCATACTAACGAAAATGTTGTTGATATCCCTCCCCTAACCTTTCCTTGCCGCCGTGGTTGCGGTGTGGCTGACGACTGGCGTGACTTCTCCAGGAATGGACAAATGTCGAGTCATCAGTCACTCCCACCTTAATGGCTCGGCGACACGACATATTGCCAAAGGTGCCGGCATCGGCTGTCACCTAGCACGGCGGATGTTATTTAGATATGACCAATGAAACGTAATATTGAGAGGAGAGAACAACAGATCGCCGATGAGAGGTGGTACTGATGTGACGGTGTTCTGTGGACAATTGAAGTTGAATTGAAGGGTGAATAATCTGTCGACCTGCACTGGATATTAGTGCCCAGATAACCAATGATACAAGTACAGACAGCGCACTTTCTTGGCTTCCAAAGCTGTAGGTAAGAGGACGACCAAGTGACCAGCTCAGCAGCAGCGCGATGCGGTGTAACTATAGGTGCAGCTCTGGCCCAGTAAATCGGAGCGCTGGCCGATCGTCGCCTGAACTGACTGGCCGACGGAAGGCCCAGCACACTTCAAGTTGGTAGCAAACTTTGCTGACTTGAAACACGGACTTCTATCGTGAACTTTTCTGCTGAGAGATTATGGGTCACGCACGATTTGTTAGTCCCCATATACAATTAGCTAATTATGAGATTATAGTCACACTAGGGGTTCCAATTTCCAAATGTCACTGGAGCACTAAAGCTAAACGGATACCGGCCAACTTTCCAGCATCGGAATCAGTGACTGTGTTGACCTGGCATGTTATCGGCTAAATCAGCCAGCCTAAATCTACCGGGTTGGCCGGAAAAATGCTCCAGATTTTAGGTTCATATTACATGGTGACAATAGAAGTCTTAATACCGAGATATAAATTTCTCTTCTATGTTATTGCGAATAGTCAACACCAATTCTACAAGCTGATTGAAATAATATCCGTGCTGGAGACGATTACCATTTCAGCGAATTATTTTGATTGTAGGTATATTAACCCGCGCCGGGCCGGGGGGGTACATTTGTTTGTGCATCTTTTTCGCACATGTTGTGAAAATTTCAAACTCAGGTCACCTTAGGTCAGGTCACCAGGTCACGCCAAGTGACCTCACCTCAGAAAAAATAAGAATGCTCGTCATAGCTATACCGATTCATAGATTGCCTTGAAACTTTCAGCGATTGATTAAAGCAACATTATCTATAAAATGTTGATCTCGGAATTTTGATATCGGTGACCTAAGGTCAGGTCAATTTTGCGACCTCTCCATTATAAGTCAATGGGAGAAAATTGAAAAGCGTCTGTTTTGCACGAACGCTATTCTAGACACTCTCAAACATCGAGATGTAGGTAAAATTGACACACTGAACCGGAAAATAGCAACTGTGACCCCTCGTTATGTCCCCGAGGTCATCTCAGGTCACGAACAGAATCTAACAGTTTTTCGCTAATAACTTCTGATAGAGACGTGCTAGAGCGCTGAAAACGCCTTAGATGTGTTCGGCTCGACGTTGCAGATCGACTGATGTGCAACATGACCTTTTCCGGTCAGGTCATGACCTTGACCTGAGGTCAAATTTTCAAGTTGACCTTTCAAGGTCAAATTATAGTTCATTCGACGCGTCTCGACGAGAGGAACACGATGCTGGCAAAAGTAATGTCATGGCTCTTTTGAGTCAAAAGTTATTGCCGAAAAAAACGTTTTTCGTAAAAACGGCTATTTTGGGAGTTTTTGCCCTCTGGAGGCTAAATCGTTGACCTGAGGTCAAATCTGAGAACATTACTCAGAAAGGTCAGTAAAAGGGGCTATCGAATGCGCTTTTCCGCGGCGCTGTAGCTCTATCGGTTCCCGAGATAGCCGTTGGCAGTTTCCAAAATGTTGAAATAGTCAACATTTTACCTTTGGTGACCTCTGGTGACCTGACCTTTGACCTGACCCAAAAAATGACCGAAGTGTTTTCGTCCTTATTTTGGACGTTCTTTTGATTGCCGCTTACCGCGTGTCGCTACGTGGCCCAGGAGCCGAGTTAGAAGGGGGGTGTTCAGACACCCCCCCCCGGCCCGGCGCGGAATCTCAGAGCACCGGCCCGGCGCGGGTTAATTCAATGATTCTTAAATGATACCCCTGCAATATGCTATCTTCCAAACGTTCAAGACTACCATTTTTGGCGATAATTAATCAAATAGTAGCTAAATGGCAGCGAAAGTGGTGCCGAGTGCCAGAACCTTTTCTGACGCATCGACCCATTAATGCTCGTTGCCGGTCAGTGCCGTCTAACTTCCGGATGACTTTGTCAAGGGACGGAGCGGGCCGGGGCGACATAGTAATTAGGTTTATTAATGACACGGCAGTTATCCGCACAGTTATTAGTTCATTTAGCCTCTGTGCCGACAACCAATAATCGACCACGCCCGAGGAACTGCAAATTCGAAAGTAGCGTATCGTCGTTAGGCCATTTGATTATTTTTTTACGGAATATTTATTTTGCATTGTTAGCGAAGATTTACCTATACTGCTTTGCTTTCTAGTTATAGTAAATACACGTATCTGTCAAAGTAAATACATTGAAGTTAAATGAAATAGAAGCAAGTGTATATGTGATAAGTAGAAGGTTGATCGGACCAGTCGGTGATCGTGTGTGTTGAGAAGCCTTTGGATCTGTCACGCACACGGCTCCTATGAGAGGAGCGAGTGCTCGACAGTGACAAAAATCCCTCTTTTGCGCCTATTGGTGCATATTCTCCGTCCCGTTCCCTTCTCTCTGACGGCCTCCATTGTCCATTACAGGCCCGTACACCCAGTACACGGTGGGAGTGTCCGCCGCCACAGAGGTGGGCTCCGGCCGACAGCGTCTGGTCCGACTGCGGACCGATACCTCGGCGCCGGGCCGGCCCGTCATCCTCAGCATCACCTGTGTGCACAGCGGGGCCACCCAGGTGCGCTGGAGGGGCCCGACTGAGCCTGGTCCTCCGCCCGTCAGCTTCTTCACGATTGGCTACAGGAACGCGCGCCACCCCAAGTACACGCTGACGGGAACGCCGGCCGGCCTCGGCGAGCACACGGTGGGTCGCCGCCCGGTTAAAGCCGCGGCCAGATGTAATTTCCGTCGTGTGATAATGGGGTCTGGGCGGCCGCCTTTCGGAGCTGATCCTGAGGTAGCCCCTGACCAACGGCCGTGCCTGTGTGTTGAGGATATATGGGAGCTGACCCCGGTCCCGGCTGAACAGGTTAAGAACTTCAGATTCATATCAGGGCAAAGTGCATTGTTGAATGTCGTGTTATGAGCTCGGCTTATGCATTCGGCGCTGTGTATGCCATGTGTCATGACGGTGAATAGGGTTGCATGAGAGTGGTTCCCATCAATTAAGGCTGCTTAGGCTCCTACTAGACTAAATGGATTGGTTTACTGACTGTTGCTGGGCATTTGCAGAGCTATGAGGTTTAATGAATAGTCAAACAGATTTCAATCGGATAACGGAACAAGATTCATAATGAGGATATATTCATTGTTCATACCATTCACATTACGAGCGTAAACTAGGAATCAGTAGATGTAAAAGTTGCAAGATGCCTATACATTTTCCTTATTAGTTACCAAAACCACCACAGAACAGAACAAGCCAATAGATGAAAAAGACAAGGGTATATTCAACATGCATGTATGATGTAGATGTTATAGATGCAAAACACTATGGATTAAATGTATTCATTTTCAGTTCGAAAACGATTGAGCTATCTTTCTTTTTCATTGGAGGCTCGCGTGTTCTGACCTAGAACAAAGTCTGCCAGCGACAACACCCTGCTTTCAAAGTCGGTGCAAACAACATCTGACTGCGCGCTATCACGCAATGGGGTGAGAGCTATGAGCTCTATATAGCTCTGACTAATTCAAAGGGCTGACCGTCAGGACCTGTCTTTGTATGCCTCAAATTCATCCCGTCACACCGGTATGGTGGGCCTTTGCATTTTAAACAGCAATATAGGAAAAAATGATACTTACAGGTTACAACAATGCAGCAATTTCGTTGATCTCTTTCATGGCTACTTTCATTTAATATTTTGATGGATTTTAACAGAAAACTTTTACAATTTCATTGCCCTCAGTTACAGGCTTTACCAACAGATGCGTACGAACAAAACCAATCATGTTCTGTCTCTAGAGTAACATTTCCTTTTACAACCGATGTACTACGATCGACCAGTACAGATGCGCGCTGGCCGAAATTCCACCAACACACCAGCCGCCGCAGCTGGCACGTCAGAAATATCGCCACTAAAACATCTTTTTATTTGTCAGCGAGCCGGTTTGCGAGGCTATGCCACAAAAACAGGGTGGTCGCCGCGCTGTAAGCCCGAGATGAGGTCGTTAACCAGCGCCGCCAGCCACGGCGCGCTCCTAAACGCCGGGCCGCGCACCGGCGACGGCCCGCTCTCTCAACAACTTGTCGCGGTCTCGTCGGCGTCGTTTCGACGAGGAGCGGAGCGTGACGACAGAGCGAGGCGCCTGACGATAGTATCAAGATGGGCGGCCGTGGGAGGGACGTAGAACGGCGACGGTGAAAAGCGGAGGCCGTTGGACGGTTATATAGGCCGCCGCGAAATGTCATCAGCGTCCATCTAGCCAGGGACGTGAAGCCGCTGTTTTGGTTTTTCACAAGTGAGCGACAGATATGCTATCACGGTATTGCGCAGCTACTGACACTTAGAGATTTAGCTGAGAGCTGACGAAAAATGTCGGGAACCTTTTTACTTTTTTATGTTAATGGGATTTTTACTCCAACAAGTTTGCTTATTTGAGATAGCTACACTGTAAACGAGATACTGAAATTGCTCACTGAAACAGTAAAGCAGCCTCCGATGGACTAAAGTTTTTAATGTAGTGTATTACGCCATTCGTATGGTTTCTTAATTTGCATGCATCCAAGTTCCAACCATATAGGGGCTATCGTGATGGCTTCAGGATCAATAGAAGTCTGATAATATGACATAAAATTACTTTATCCATTTTCAAACGTTTCGACTTTATTCAAAGTCATCTTCAGTGTTAAGATAGACAAGTACACAATTACATGCTGACATAAATATACAAGCAGTCGATGCAGGGTATCAGTCGATGCACATCACACACTTCACAAAAAAAACAAGACATAAACATCATTCGTGTTGATTCGGTCGTCTTCCTACAGAACGATACTTAGTTTAAACGCAGATGATCGGTCATTGATGGTCGGTTTCGCTTCAAATATGTGTAAAGATTCTAAAATTCGTAAATTGAAGTTTGAGCGTTTTTGATCTATGATTTTGATTTTGATCTATGATTTTGGATCTCTGTTCAAGTTCAAGGACTCTATCCCTAAAATGTGTCGATCTGCTGTAGTTTATAAGTTCAGTTGTCCTTCGTGTGAAGGATCTTACATAGGTTCTACCTATGTTAGGCTCCACAGCAGTGTTTGCCAACACAGGGGTAGATCACACAGAACGGGCGAACTCTTATCCAGTCCAGTAGCATCGTCTGTACGGGATCATTCTTTAGCATGTGACACCCCCTTCAGTATAGACGATTTCAAAATCATAGATCAAAAACGCTCAAACTTCAATTTACGAATTTTAGAATCTTTACACATATTTGAAGCGAAACCGACCATCAATGACCGATCATCTGCGTTTAAACTAGATATCGTTCTGTAGGAAGACGACCGAATCAACACGAATGATGTTTATGTCTTTTTTTGTGAAGTGTGTGATGTGCATCGACTGATACCCTGCATCGACTGCTTGTATATTTATGTCAGCATGTAATTGTGTACTTGTCTATCTTAACACTGAAGATGGCTTTGAATAAAGTCGAAACGTTTGAAAATGGATAAAGTAATTTTATGTCATATAGGGGCTCTGTGATTGGCATTGGCTGACCCCAAGTGTAACACAGCCGTGGAATCTGTCGTGACCTAACAATCAGTCATGCCCCACTGTGTCGTGGCGCTGGTCAACCTTTGACCCCAACCACCGTGCACCTGGGTCCGGCTGAGTTCTCGGCCCAGCCGTCCCGGCCGGCCGGCCAGAGTAATTTGTTCGTTGTCTGGGCCGCGATTCAGGCATCACAACGGTCCTCAGATGGCAGATAAAGCCAGTGACCTGCGAGCGCGCGGCTGATGAACGCCCCAGACCGGCTCGTGGTGCCGCAGCAGCTGCAGCTCTGGCCGGGCACCATTTATATGTAACGCCCCGGGGCGCCAGCGCCGCCGGAAAACGAGCCTCGCTTGTGCTGGATTAGGACACCATCATAACTTCCTGACTTCTTGGATGCGAGTTGTTTACCAAAAATGGTTGCGACTGAGGAAGAGGCTCCTATTGCACATAATGGGCTTAATTTATTGTTATAGCTCGTTTATCTTGGACAAAACTAGTTGATTACTGGCTAGCAAGCAGTCTATTTACTACACTTAACTCTAAGGTTCGATTAGCATTGTCTCCGGTCGCTGTTTCAGATTCTGATGCGCCACTTGGACCCGGGGATGACCTATTTCAAGATCCAGGCGGTCCGCAGAAGCCGGTACAGTCAGTCGGACGTGTACCGCGGGGAGTTCACTGAGCCATGGAGCGTCCTGCTGCCCCGCAGAAACTCAGGTCAGTCGACAGTAGCGGCGGAACACCTTCAATTAAGGGGGGGGGGCACTGCCGATTTTTGGTCCCATTCTTTCCATGCAACGCCCATAGGGCTAATGTTAAAATGCCAAAATCAAAGGGGGGCATGGTGCCCCGGTGCCCTCCCCGTTTCGCCGCCTATGTCAGTCGACACCAGAGAGGTAAATTAGTGATAAAAAAGAATGAAAATAAGGTCTAGTTCCGCATTATAACTGCAAACCTTTCCTCGCGCTTTCTACCCGCTGACCCGTTGATGCTCTCTGTTTAGACTGTTCCGAGTTTCGTCTGATCCACCCGGTTCAGGACGACTCCAGCCTTGCCATCGGTATCGGCGTGCTGGCCGGGGTCGTCGTGGTCTCCGTCCTCGTCGCCGGCATCGTCATCTTCCTCTGCAGGTGAGCTCGGCCATCATTGGACCAACAGGGAGACGCTGACGTAATGGGAATCAGAATAGCTATCCATACGAGACAAGAGTATAAAGCCAAAATAAATCATAATAGCTAGTTCAAATTTTTCAATGCGCAATTAGCATGCAATGTTTCCGGAAGACATCGTAAATCAACTCCGTCTACAAAATAATTAGTGCAAACCATATTTCGTACCTAATCGGTTCTGCCTACTTAGCTTATCGCTATGATGACATTGCATAGGCAATGACGCAACGCCGTAATCGGCCGATAATCCCCGGCGGGGCCGTCAAATCGACCAGTCTGTCTGCACCGGTCTGCAGCACGGCTCGACTCTCGGCATTTCCCGGGGGAATCACGGCCCGTCTGCCGCCCCCGGCCCTGCGTGTTAGGTCGCCGGCGCGGCGTCACGTCATCACAGTGTCACGCGTCACGCGTCACGCGAGGACGGGCCTGTGGACGTCAGACGCGCCCGCAGCTCGAGCCACTGATTAGCTGACCACAGAGTGTGTGTCCAGCGCCGGTGGCAACGCACCTCTGTGTGATGACGTCACTGGGGCTGTTATTACCGGCTGCAGCAGCTGGAGTTCCTCCGATATGAACTAGAGATTGATCTGGTGATTTCCGGTGAACGGGTGATCTTTGGAATGGCCGCTGGCGATGGCACGATTGGGGCGATGTGGGACCGGCTCATGTTCTTCGGACGTGATGTCAGGACTCGGGAGACTCCCGGGAGGGGTCCTCAGTACCGGAACGCCGACATTTAAGGCTAATGTATCCTAGAAGAATCTCAACATCGTATTTATCTTGAACATTCGAGCAAACTGCAACTCGAAAGCCAACATGTGCCTAAAATATTATGTGAACCTCATAAGCCAGTTCTCGTAATCCGGATTCATTGGATGTCGACGACGGATGTCCTGTAGAATCTTACGGACTAAAAACATCGTCTCACTTCTGGGAGACGATTACTGCTCACTGCCAGGGTGGTTTGCTTCTAGACGACGCTCACGACGCGGCCGGCCGCCGGTGGTGGCGAAGGCGGCGCAGCCCGACTGGCGCCAGGAGGCGATTCCGGCGCACATGTTCGCCGGGTACGTGATGGACCTGCAGCGCGGCGCCGATGCCGGCTTTTGGAAGGAGATGGCGGCGGTGGACGGTGCCGCGGAGAAGAACGGTGGAGTTGCGGTGAATGGGCACCACGCCGGCACTAATGGGCACCACGCCGGCACCAACGGCTGCTCAAAAACTAACGGTTAGTGACGGGCACCCAGCCGCGTCTGGGTGTGGAGTCTTGGTCAGCACTACAGGGTCTTTTTTATATCTGAGACGTTATCTGAGAAGTGCTGTGTGATTTGGCTTTGTCTTGTATGTACTGATGCAAAGCTTAGCGAAAGTGATTTTTTACATTCACTGCATCGACTCCGCTAGGCAATACGGCAAGTGTCGAGCCAACCACAGTGGCGGGTTTCAACTCGACCTACCTCCTCCAAGAGGACGACTCTTCGGCGCATTTCTGGCAGATCGTCAGGAAACACCGAGTGGACACCATAGTTCGCTTCACTAACGGAAAGGTACGTGCGGGTAATCCCGGCAGCTTTATTGACTTTTTTATGGTGCACCCCGCGTCAACAGGTTGCAGTCAGCTCACCGTCTGGGGCCACAGACCTCGATCGGTGCTCTCCGGTGACTGAGTTAAGGTGTTTGTTTTTGTAGCGGCCCGTTTGTTACGATTTATGGCGCACTGTTAGCATAATCCGTCTTCTGGCGCAAACGATGCTGGCGTGCCACGGCATTAGAAATCGCTTTCCATCGATGGCGTGAAAAATGGAACCATTTATTGAGATCCAACTGCCTGAAGGAGCAGCTGGGAACAGTTAAGATGTTTTCTGTTGGCGAAATGATTGACTAAACTATGATTTAACTCTGGTTTTATTGCAAAAAAAGGAGCTTGAACCTTTGGAAATTTTATAAAACGAATTAACCTCAACGACACTCATAAAATGATTTGAAATGACAGTGAAATTACATATTCATATGAGATAGGTTCCTCAGATATGCGTCGAGAGCAGCACTGGTTTCCAGTCACGACGCGTCGATCCTCCATCCGACATCTTTCAGTCTCTTTCGCTTTGATGTCGATTGACTCAAAAGTTCACAAGAAAACACCGTCCTCCGAGCCACTTCAGTGGATTAATTTTGTTCGAACTAATTAGGAATCTTACAACGACTGGCAGGAATGAACTGTCTTTTCTGTTTTGGTATTTATTTAGTTGTGTTGTATCCGGTTTATTATTTTGTGATCCTTTGTCGGTGTTAGTTATTATTTTGATTGCATCTTACTGGTCTTAATTCGGCGTATCATACATATAAAGTCGACGTCACTAATGTGGCACGACCAATAAAGTAACTATAATTATGTTTGCCCCTTCAAACACAAGTAGATGTGTTTTTATGCGGTAACCGTGGTCGGTGACAGCGTCAGTCTCCGACCGGTCCAAACCTAGCCTGGCTCCTCACGGAGCCCACTGACCGGTCACAGGGCGCTGACCTGAGGACCATCGCGGGCACCGACCGACGTTCGATGACCATTCTGAGCTGCATTATTAACCGGCGACGCGCCAGAATCACCAGACCGCAAGAGTGAAACGTGCAATATTCAGCGGCGGCGCCTTGCGAGAAACGAGCCGCGATCGCTCCCCTCCCCCTCTACCCTCTCCTCTCCCTCTCACTCTGCCGAGGAGGTGTGACCGGGTCGCTCTCTGCAGGGAGACCTCGGCAGTGTTCAATCTCCCCGACTGACTGGCTGGCGGCCCGGTCACTTGACTGGCTGAAGGCAGGTGTTACTCCGTATGAGGGAGAAATACACCCGCGCTTCGGAGTTTGCGTACGACCGTACGAAATCGACCTTTGAGATTTGGCAAATAATGGCGAATGTCTATAGAAATCATTCCTGTCATACACCGCTGCTCCACCGGGGTTTCAAATTGAGGGCTGGTCATTGGTTATAACGGATCATCGTTTAATGTTATTGGCCTGGGACCCACTCGTGTAACGTACCAATTGTCCACTTATGTAGAGTTCTGCTCCTCAGCAGTGGAAAAACAGCTATTACCAGCGGCGTTTACAAAACTAAAGAAATATAATCCCAATGTTTATGAAGCTGCATTGGTGTCGTATTGCTACAAATGTTAGAATTAGGCTAATCCATGTCTAAGCTGTGGCTTATTATTCCGGGCAGCTCAGATCACATAATGATGGCATGTAGATGGATAAATGGTGATCCAATTTGAGCGATATTTGAGCTTGATTAGATTCCGTTCTGAGGGAACCGTTCAGACTGGTACATGTATATCGGGAGACTTTCAGTCCAATGGAGATGGCGTACAGATACTCCCCTTTCTCTTTCCCTCTCTCTCTCTCTCTCTCTCTTTCTCTCTTTCTCTCTCTCTCTCTCTCTCTCTCTCTCTCTCTCTCTCTCTCTCTCTCTCTCTCTCTCTCTCTCTCCGTGTGACGCCCCCGCGGGACTGTCCACTATCCGAGGGCGGAGATGAGCTCCGGCAGATTCGCCTCCAGTCTGCCCTCCGCGCGCCGCATCCGACGACCAATTGAGAAATTAGCCGCCGCTCTAACTTGCAGCGCCAGTCGAAGTTAGCGTAAATTACTTATCCTGATGGCCCAATCTGACGTGGCGGTAATCCGTCAGAACCTGAGACAGCTGTGTTTAGAGCAGTGGGCGCCCGATTAATTTTTTTTTCGTGTCAGAAAAGCATTCGAGTGGGTGTAACTTCAGAGTGAACGATTGCAGGATATTCACTGTTCATCCTGGACTGGCCATGTCAGCATTCTTGGTGTTTAGGTGACTCCCGATACCAGAACCTCACCGGACTCACTATCATCACAGGGCTACTGCGAAGTTTTCGTTCTTTCTCATCTTCCCGCACCATGACCCGTGTGCTCCCGTTGTTAGCCTCCTCGTTGCCTCACTCCCAAGATACGAGTCTGCTGTTTGACCTGTGACCTGCGGTCCCGCTGACCCTGATCCCTCCCTGCCCCACAGCTGGGGTCCGTGACGGGTGACCGGTCACTGGTGAGTGACCCGTGACCTACCGTCCCGCTGACCGCCGCCCTGTTATCCTAAAGGTGGAGTACGGCACTGGTCCCCCGGGCGAGTGGCCAGCGCCTCTGGCCGGGTGTCAGGTCCAGCAGCGATCCGACTCCGCCGGCGGTCTGCTGCTGCTGCCGCCGCCGTCACCCGCACACAGAATCACGGTGAGTCCACGTTTGTCCAGACTTACATTGTATGTCTTTGGTCCGTAAATACCTGCTGTCGCCTCACCAAAATATACGCCTGAATCTCCTCTCGCGTCTGGTAGACCGACGAGGTAAGACAAAAGGTCAGGGGTTAACATCACATAACGAAAGATATTCTTATCATCCAGCGCTGTCATGAAACATTATATCAATGGCCACTTGAGCGAGAGCGATTAGTTGCTAACTTTGTCGATTTAAAGTGTCAGGCGACTGAAGTTCCTCAATATTCCAACTGGCTGAAGCATGAGGCAAACAGTGAAGCTGATGACATTTTATGAGGGCTCACACTGTCGCCCGTTTAGTGGAGACATTCGATAAGTTAATGCCATGATAGCATCATATGAAATCACCCAGATTATTTACGATAAACCCGCATGTTTTACATATGATCTTCGACCCTAGGTGTACTGCCTATGCTATGTGAACTATGCATGCATGGTAGACAGAATGTCGTTTCATGATCACTTGTTCTATGGTCCAACGAACAAGTCCGGTAGCGCATATAACCAACTTATATCTAAATGATTGCTGCTGCTCCGGTCAGGTCAGTCTAATCCCTCCCTAGCAGCAGCCATAGGTCAATTCAGGAGAGTCCCGAGCTGGCGGCACTGATGCCGTTCTCCTCCCCGACATCCCCTGACGATCGTCTGCCGCTGTCAGCGGCGAGTTATGGACTCCCACAAACAAAATATGTGGCCCCGGCCCCGGCAACCGAGGGCCCGGGGACAACTAAAACATGAAACGCGAGTCAACGGTGTCGTCTTCATCATGGCGCGACCCCATTATGCTGAAGGTAGCACTTATGTAAGTAGCAGCGTCCGTACCCATTTAGCTCTATGTATCAAAACCAAGTAACCTGGCCGACCAAAAACTTGAATCATTTTGTTTTTATTCCAGCGCAGAAATTTATTACTCATCCATTTACTGAAACCAGCCATTCTAAGTAAAGATTAGGTGTATTTAATATTTTGTTCATTTACTAAGAACAATTTCATATCAGCCTGACTGTTATGTTCTCATCGGGGGCTAAAACATCCCGTGGTGGGCACTAAATCGCCATCAACTGAGCATCACAACCGCCTTTTCACTTCTCAGAAACACCGGTTCGTCCGCCCATCAGTGGTCTCTCCGAATTCCAAACATGTCTCGCCTGTGGCGGCTGTCTTTCTCGCGTCTTTCTCCGCTCTCTCGGCGGCGGCGGGAGGACGTTTGAGAGCTGCCGTTTCCGGTCGGGCGTGGCCCGCGGCGCGGTGATCGTGTTTTTATCGTCCATCGCTCAGCGGCCGCGGCGGCTCGGCGCCGCCCGGCCGGCTTAGGGCGTCATTCTGAACGATGGCGGGGCTCTCGGCCGGCCACCGACAGCGCTAACGATAGGGGCGCACCGCCGCCGACCGCCCGACACCGGTTATGAGCCCGCCTAACGTTCACCTTACGGTCACCTTACGTTCACATTACGCCCACCTTACGTCCACGACATGCTCATTTCTGCCTATGAATATGTGACGTTGCCGTCCAATATTTCAAAAGTCACAGTGATCTCAGTTTTAAAGAGAGACATAATAACACTCCTACCTCATTTATATCCCCTGTTTACCTATACATATGTATATAAAGGTCTATGTATCGTCACAAACCCAGTTCAAACCATCAAAACCAATACCTCGCCCCCATAACGCTTCCTGTTACTCCGTCTCAGTGATCCTGCCGCCCTCTAAGCCCGGCAGCATCAGCCATCATCCCGCTCTGACAGTCCGACTGGGCCGGGGAGCACCTCCAGTCCACTTGGGACAAAGGGCATTAGCCGGGCCGCGCGGGCCGCGCAGCCCGGCGGCTCGGCCACACCGGTGGATTGGCGACCGTCGGAGGCGACGGAGCGCTGAAATCGGCCCGTATCCGGCCGACCGTCGGTGGCGAGATGGTGTGGCCGATGGACCGACGAGGTTCGGGGGAGAGGCCGAGGCCGGCTCAGGTCGCAGAGGAGAGATGGAGAAGGTGGAGCTGAACCTCGCGTGGGGAGGTACTGAGGGATTTGAAACCCGATCGCTATCATTTTTGGTATGCGTGTCTTTCTCCAGTTCTCTACATGATGCTGTTTATTTAGACATTGTCAGCCACAGGCAAAACCCAATGACGGCTGAGGTAAAAAAAAAAAAGAAATGCCTTCATTAACTTGCAGTTATCGAACTAGCCGGGATACTATTTCGCTGACACTTGAAGCCGACCTAAGGATGGCTTGTCATCTTCAGACGGCCTCCCCCCCCTCCACAGAGCACGTTATGCGCCTGCTGTGCGGGCCGGAGCCGACAGGAGGTGCGGTACGTGCTGTCAGTGTTTGACGCCCCCCCCCCCCCCTCCACAGAGCACGTTATGCGCCTGCTGCGCGGGCCGGAGCCGACAAGAGGTGCGGTACATCCTGTTGGACACCAGCAGCCCGGCGGGCGGTGTTCGTCAGTATCTGCTGCGGCAGGCGGCCGCCGTCCGGCCCAACACCCACCCCACCGTCCTGGTGGTCACCAGGTGAGTCTGTGTGGCGTCATCTGATGACGTCAGTGGGTGGCGTCATCGGCGAGAGATGGGGCAGCACTGTGCTGAGTGTGCAGTGACCCGTTTTTTTAGTTATAGATGCTCGAATTGTATGGATTTTCCTACCTCTTTGGAATTGGGCTGGAGACAGCATAAACAGAAATGCTTGGACTGGTATCATTCAAATGTGAGGAATTGAGCTCCGGCGATATCTTTTAGGCTACCATGCAAACTCCAAATGTTGGTACACCTAAGTAACCTTTAAACAAATAAGCACCACATATTCGTACGGGGACCCGCAGTTGCTATTGTACACGAACCCCAACTTTAGCCGTCTGTCCTGTCCAGTAACAACCGATAACATTGATATCGACTGCCAGTACCTGTACAAGAGTAGCTGAGGTTTTCTGTGCGTGCCCTCTGACAGCTTACCGTTGTTCCCTGTGAGGGTGCTGGGACAATTTACTCAGGGTCGCTGTACAGTAGCAACTGCGGGTCCCCGTACCTACCAACCGCTCAGAAAACGGCTTAGGTCGCTACACATTACTTCAGAGTCTCAAGAAAGCAGGGAATGTGTAATGTGTATCCGCTGATAACTACCTGTAAGTGAACTGTATCAATTGCGTTAGTCTTCGCGACACTTCCCCAGGCAATATGCTCCCCGTGGATGTGCTTTTATATGCCGTTTCCTCTCGTTCATATCACGCGTCATATGCACCCTTATTGAGAAATGCATGGAGCCCATATTTAATATTTCCGCCCTGTTGAAAATGTGGCCGGCTCGTTGAACGGAACCCTCCGGCCGCCGGCAGAATTTAGATACCGAACGAGAGGCACTCTTTACCCGTTGAAGGGCTACAAATCTCGGCGGAGAGGGCGGCCGTGTTTCAGCGGCGCCGGCCGTCAGAAGGTTAGCGGTGCCACACGGGCCGCGTTACGCCGCTGCGAGCCCTTCTGCCGATCGATTTATTCAAATTTCATGGAAGACGGCGCGGGCGGTGCTCCATTTCGACTGATAGCATTACTCTGTTGTCGGCTGAAGACGGTATGATTTGAGAACATAGTGCTCCCGTTGGAGTCTGCGCTCGTGTATCATGCGCCGGACGGTCCTCCGGGGCCGGGGAACCTCATATCGGCGCGGCCCGGCCGGTCAGACGGCCCCAGCACCCATCATCGGGCCGCTCCTGCTCAACGGCCAGTCATCACCGTGTATACGACTTCTAATGACCGCCGCCAGCGCGCGACATGAATACGGCGCCGGCTGCGCATGGGCCGGCCCGCATGAGAGGCCCTCCTGGCGGCGCCGCCAGATCAGATGCGGGAGACGGGAACGGCCCGATCTCGCCGCAGAGTGGCCGGTGATCTATGGGGAGCAGTGCGCGGTGGCTACGCGATAAATTCACCGGCAAATTGGGAAGCAGACAATCCGGACAGAATTGATCGAACCGCTCGCCGATTAAATTTCGCCCTCCCGAGCTTGAAGTGCGGTTGCTAGATGGTTTTGTTATTTCTGTGTCTGAACACACGGCTCTGTAATATAATTCAGTCGCAGTACTTCATAACCCATGTTAAAGATGTCCATAGTCTTTCCCGGATTGACTAACGTGCATACATCATGCAACGTATCCTTAATGTTATTTCTTTTTGCTAAAACCCTCTTTGTTCCTGGTTAAAGCGCAAAGAGAATCCTATTAAGTTCGCAATTACTGTTAGAAAGTTTCGTCACTTAGCCTTTAATCAACAACTACTTGCAATTACCTTGCAACCAGAGAGTACCTGCATTCGCAAAAGTTCAAAATGGTCGACTCATTGGTTCAGTCGTCGACGGTAGCACCACATCATTGCATTGAATGTTTTGCATTGATATGCATTAATGGGCAATAAGAGTCACATAATACGACATATGGGAAATACCGGCTAATTACAAGTGCGTCGTTGGGAATAAGAGTTAAATGCGGGTAGTTCGCAAAAATCACAAAACACAGAAACCTATGTGTAAACACGCCGTGTGGTGTAGTACTTACAATCGCTACATCATTATGGGTGGCAGGGACAGACTGAGCCTGTCATTCAACATGTGTGATGCGGGGGAGCCTACCATTCCAGGCAACTGATTGCCGGTGATAAATGGGACACCATTTTCAAGTGCACAACTAACGGTTGAACCTTTGTCACTATCAATTCTATTAACTGCTCTAACACTCCCCCACATGCTTAAAACATAGTCATACACTGGCTGTATGTATGTCCGTGCACCCAATACGCGTATTTTTTACATTTTTACATCCACATACAGCCTCTCTGTTCCCTTCCCGCCGACAACCCATTCCCACACATTATCGGCCACTTCCTCGTCATTGTTCTGTCAGTCTCGCCCCATATATCGCTCTGTCTGAGGCACAATATTCCCCCTTCCGCTCGGACATCCTCTGGCCGCCTGCATTCAGGGCCGCCCGAGCTGCTAACGGCATGTTTACACCGCTGAGTGCATGTGTGAGCGGCTGGCCAGCGGCCGGCTGTCCGGCTGTCGGCCGGTGTGAAACGGCCTCTACCGACAGAGCTGGCTGGAGCGGCGGGATGGCCGGAACGGGAGCGGCTGGCTGCTGGTGCAGACGGCTGGTGGTAAGGTTAGGACGGAAATTACCGACTTACACAGCCACTGATACGAGATAGATGGTTGTCAGCCTGGACAGAAACCTATGCAACCATTTGGTTGCCTGGCTACGGGAAGCACCGACTGCTCCAGCCGGGATGGTTATCACATAGGTATCTGGCATATGGAGGCGTCACCAACTGTTACAGCCGTGTGGTTCTCTGGTCGGGACAGAAACCTCTGACTGGTGCAGCCAGTTAGTTGCCTGGCCGAGACCAAGGGGACACGGCCAGACACAGTCTCTCGGAGGCACCAAGTTCCACCGACCGGTAGCCCGGGTTTCCCAGAGGCAGAAAGGTCAAAAGGCAATACTGGAGCATGTTTATGGATCAAAGACCGTTTTAGTTTCCCCTTAGGAACGATAATGCTGCCTTTGCCTGGTTCTCTGAAGGTCCGATTCCCTAGGTATCTCTAGGAAGTTTTGGATCTGTGTCCCAGAAAACCATTGAGTGTATAAGTTCCCTCTCACCTATTTACATCATCATCGCTCCAAATAAGGCGATACTTTTTCGGTTCAAGGTAAAATTCCATGAAGGTTAATGACGTACTTTGCTTTAAGTTCACCAGTATAACACCTTTTGGGGCGACTAACGGAGCGAGCGAGAGGGTGGGCCTTGCACGTGCGAAATTTCGAGGGGGTACCTCCAGCTGACTTGTGCACGGCACCCTACAAACCGGTCTCTAGCGATGTGCCAAATTTGAGCACAATCGGCCCAGCCGTTCTCGAGATCTGGAAGCGGCACCCTGCACGTGCGCACGTGCAAAATGGGTCCCAACTGACTTGTGCACGGCACCCTACTAACTGGTCCCTAGCCGTGTACCAAATTTGAGCGCCATCGGCCCAGCCGTTCTCAAGATCTGGAAACGACCCCTGCACGTGCGCACGTGCAGCAGCACCCCAACTCTGGCACATGGATATGCAGAGCCTAGTGGGTGCCTACCTACATGCCAACTTTCAGCGCAATCGGCCAAGTAGTTACCGAGATATTGCAACAATTACAAAACTGACACCTCTTCGTTTTGCACGTGGCACGTGCATAAGGGGTCACCCACATGCATCGGGAACAGTCCAATACTTGGTAGAAGGAATGAAGCTAACCTAAAAAAATTACCGCGTGTAAATCGGTCAAGTGGTTGCTGAGATATAAGCCTCGCAAAAGCGTCCGCACGGCCGGCCGGCCGGCCGCTCATATTCAGAAATTTCCGTTAATCTAAGGAAAGACTCCGCTCGCTTCGCTCGCTCCGTAATAACCAGTATAACGCCTTTTGGGGCGACTAACGGAGCGAGCGAGAGGGTGGGCCTCGCACGTGCGAAATTGCGAGGGGGTACCTCCAACTGACTTGTGCACGGCACCCTACTAACCGGTCTCTAGCGATGTGCCAAATTTGGGCACAATCGGCCCAGCCGTTCTCGAGATCTGGAAGCGGCACCCTGCACGTGCGCACGTGCAAAATGGGTCCCAACTGACTTGTGCACGGCACCCTACTAACCCGTCCCTAACTGTGTACCAAATTTGAGCGCAATCGGTCCAGCCGTTCTCGAGATCTGGAAACGACCCCTGCACGTGCGCACGTGCAGCAGCACCCCAACTCTGGCACATGAATATGCAGTGCCTAGTGGGTGCCTACCTACATACCAACTTTCAGCGCAATCGGCCAAGTAGTTACCGATATATTGTAACAATTACAAAACTGACACCTCTTCGTTTTGCACGTGGCACGTGCATAAGGGGTCACCCACATGCATCGGGAATAGTCCAATACTTGGTAGAAGGAATGAAGCTACCCTACAAAAATTACCGCATGTAAATCGGTCAAGTGGTTGCTGAGATATAAGCCTCGCAAAAGCGTCCGCACGGCCGGCCGGCCGGCCGCTCATACTCAGAAATTTCCGTTAATCTAAGGAAAGACTACGCTCGCTTCGCTTGCTCCGTAAAAACTAAGCCGTCCATCAGCTGCAAGCCGCCGGCAACGTAAGCCTTATAACGTTGTTCTTACAAGCATGACAGCATGATGCGATGAGTTCCTTTGGCCGATAAAAGATATGATGCTGCGAGTCGTCCGAGTATCATGTTTGTAAAACAGCGTTGTTTCATTTGATGCAACGTTTGTATGAATGCACACAGAACCACTAGACTGGCTTCAATACAAATATCCCCGATCATTCGAATGCTGGTCCAAGTTTGGCCTGCCTTTCCTCATTTCGTTTACGGCATCTTGGCGGATTGAATTGGCCAGCCGCGCCCGGAGAATAGACCCGACTGTTCTGTGGACCGCCGCCAGGCCGGCTCTCCGGTCCTGTGACTCTGCCTGGTGACGTCATGAGTGGAAAACCGACCGAACGATCGGCGGCTGGCTGGAGATCGGTGAAATGTCCATACCGATCGGCTGGGGGATCAGAGATGTGCTGTTGAGTGGTGGAGAGCGGAGGAATGCATGGCGAACGAGAGGAGCGATGGATAAGATGATGTGACCGTTCACTGTCCTCCGTTCACTGTCTGCTGTCCACCAGTCACTTGTCCAAACTCCGCCGTTTGCTGTTCAGCGTCTCCATCAATCATCCGCCGCCCACCGTCCATCATCCATACTCCATTGTCCACCGTGCACCGTCCACCATCTAACGTCCACCGTCCACCGTCTACCGTCCACCGTCCACCGTCCTCCATCCACCGTCCAGTCCACCGCTCTGGATCGCGACGAGCCGTCTCACTCAGTCCGCCAGTAACGCCTCCCTGAGGACCAGTTTGGAGACATCAGCCAGCCTCTCGGAAGTGGCACCGACTGCCGCTGACCTGACCGACTCGGCTTGTTGCGTCCAGTTTAGTCCGTGACCGATAGAGAGGAGGCTCTTTGCCTTGTGGGAGGGTTCTCTCTCCTTTGTGGGAGGGTGCTGTCTGTTGTGGGGAGGGTGCTGTCTTCAGTGGAGAAGGTGTATTTTACTGCTAGCAGGGTACTCTGTGCCGTGTTTGTGCATATGCGGAGGAGGGGAAGGGGCGGAAGATGTTGTGGGGCTGCTCTGCCGTGGCCCAGTTCAGACCCCAACGCATGAGACCTGTTGCGTGCGCGTGGCCGGGAAGCTCCACGTCGTTTGACCCGCGTTACTATATTCAGCCAGCTGGCAACTGGCGAGAGAGGGCGACGCTAGACCCGGGAGGACCGTGCCGCCATCTACCTGCGGCACGTTAAACTTTCGATCCAAATTAGCACCGGTGAACCGGGCGCGGGCAAGGTGGGGTGGTTGGTCCGTGGTGCCATTCGCAACAAGCACTGCTTAGCGGGGCACCAGGGCCCAAAGCCACCCATTCAACCATTCGGACAAAATTTCTTTTAAAAAAAGGAGGGAAATAAGGAAACGGAACAATGGAGCGGAACAGTGGAACAAGCAGCGGCGCAGCCGGAACAAGCGGAACAGTGGAGCTGGGGAGGAGGTGTAATGAGGTCGATGGAAGAGAGAGGCGTATAGAAAGCCGCATTCCTGCATTTCTGGCATGAACTCGACGGTGTTGAGTTTTATATTTGTTCCCAAGGGACGTCTTGCTTTGTGGCTCCATATGAACTGCAGCGCGTTTGCTGCTGTATATTCTTCGTCCCAACATTCTGCTGCAACTGCGGCAATTCGTGAACACAGCGAAACATGAAAGGCACATTGCACTGCGTCACACTTAAACAGGTGCCCACTATGTTTCCATGCGTAAATAGCCTGACCTCACACTGTGCCGGTGTTACTGGTAAATTGGACCGCTGCACACAGTCGGCCCGGCGGGGGGCGGGGGGGGGGCGACAGGGGGGGACATTATTTGACCAGTACCAGACCACGGCCCGTTGCGGAGCACAGCTGGACTCCGACAGTCGGCTGACGAATCACTAGCTAACCAGCGCGGCCGACCGGACACAAGCCGACAACCAGGTGTTTACCATGCGGGGCACAAACGACTGGGGAAACCTGACTGACTGACGATTTCTGGCATAAATAGGGCAAACGCAGGATCACCTGGTTCACTGAGGGTGATATGATGATGAGGTATTTCTATTGTGCAGGTGACGTGAGTGGTAGCTCGCGAACCTACTGTGCCATTCTGTTATTGGATTTGGAAGTGGAACGGGTTCTCAACGTGACTCCTTGGCAGAATTTAGTTACGCATTGCAGTACCATGGAGCTCTTTGTCTCATGTCACGTCCTTCATTTAGCCTCAAAGTACTCTGACTTTCCTTCTACTCTTCCTTCTTCCTTCTCTGCATCTCCATTGTCCACCGTTTCCAGTAAATAAGCCACAGCTGCCATCCCTGCTGACCCTTCTCCCTCTGTGTCCCAGGGGAGCGGAGCAGGAGGCCGCCCTGCTGGTGGCTGCCGACATGCTGAACCGTCAGAGACTAGCCACCGGTGACCTGAGCCCGGTGGCCGTGCTGGCCCGACTGAGGGCAGTGCGACCTCGCTGGTTCACGGAGGTCGCCCAACTGAAGGTGCTCTACCAGCTGATCAGCGAGAGCCTTCGGACCGATGAGAATTACGGAAACTGAGGTGTGGTGTGATCTATCTCCGTCTCTCATGGGGAGCTGTTGGTATGGTATGGAAATGTGAGCGCTTCATTGGGACTATCTTCATTGCGCGATTGTCGTCATGTGAATGCGGGGGCCGAAGAGGGTAGTAATGTGATCTGTTGGGGAGATTGAATAACTTTTCGACAGGGATGTGTGCCGAGGGGCCTCGAAACCCTTAGGCTAAGGGGTCCAAGAGCCCAGGAACTGTACGCTATTTGTGCAATGTTTTACAGTAGATTAGCGATGGCTGCCGAAAAAAAATACCGAGTCTGTGTGATGAAACCCCAGCTACCCAGAAGATATTATGTGTGAGGTGACGAGGTCGCACGATTATGTACGTCACAAGATCTCTGACGATGCTATGTGCGAGAAGATTTGACGACATTTGTGTGTGGGAAATGATACCTTTGGCAATATCGACCAGTTGATTGTGCACGAGTGAAATGTGATGGTATTCATTGAGCTGTGGCACCTCTTTAAAGTGAGACAAACGTTCCATAACGGCGTTGCGACAGGTGAAAATGATCATTTCAAACTAAAGCGCGGCTGTTCATTGTCTTGGACATCATGGACTATGTAAACTCCGTTCAACGGTGTCCCCAGAGCATCTTTATGTCGCATCTTTGAACGCATCCTCTATCTGCATGGGAGTGACTTCTTCAGTGGCTTCCAGAGGCGTTGTGCGTTTCAGAATGCTATGTGGAGCATCCAGCATGTTTCGTATCATTGAAAGTGATGGCCTCGGGATGTGAGTTACATGCCAGGGGCGAAGCGTTCGGGAAAGTTTGCTATATCGTCTAAAGTGATGTTATTGGCAGGTGTGCTACATTGTCAGGAGTTCTCAGTGTGTACATACGTTCGACATGGGGCCGGGTCATACTGTCATGTGGGATGCGTTCGGCATGTGAGCTACATCGCCAAGGTTGCGCGTTCGGGATGTCTCTTATATCGCTGGAACTGGCGAGTTCATCACGGCCGGAGTATGGCCGTGAGCGGTGCGCGGGCCTAGTCCTGCCGCCGTCTGAACTCGTACCAATAAACTGATGGCTGTTCTGTTACCGATCGTGCTCTGAGAAGTGCCGAGTTACGAGTCCACATACGTCTGTGTAATGATGTCCGTACGGAGAACCCGCCGGGCCTGCAGCTCCCCTGCGCACCGTGAAGGATGACATATGAACGGCGCCGCTTTGACCCCAAGGCAGCGCCGTAACTCACTGTAAAATAACACGCCTGTCCGTGGGAGTTGGTTTGTTCCAAATGACCGGCATTTGTGCTTATCTTTTGTCACAGAAGGGGCCACTGCACGTTCAGTGAACTCTGCAATGGTAATCCCGTGAATTTGGCCGCATACAGTGGCAGCGGGCAGGTGCATTCATAAGATTTATTATTTAATGCTGGTGTTCCCGGAACGCACGTCCGGTTAAAACCCCTATAGTTCCACCCTCGGGGTAGAGTTGTAATGTTTAGAAAGTATGTGTAGGCGTTCATGACATTCAACAAAGTTTGAATATTTCCCAAAATAGACGTTGGGTCCCGTCTTAGAGAGAAATTAATTAAATGAGGCCTCATGGTGGAAAATTAGGTTTCTGATATTAAATTTTACGCACCGATGCGTGTTTTTAACACCGTTTCTTCAAATCCACACAGATTCTATCGGATCTGTTAAAGTCTTCCTGTCAGTTTCCAAACAGATCCTGCTAGCCATATGCCGAGGCGATCAAACCACATTTCACAGGCTGGTTGACTTCGTTGAGAGAACATTGCTTTTTGATATTGAACTTTTCAACTAAGCTTATCATTAAAGTCGTTAGCCTGAATACAGGCATTTGATCACAAAGTTTCATTTGATAGGTAATCGTCAATGAAGCGAGTTATCAACGCTCGAACAACACAATAGGTTCAGGTGCGGCGTACATACATCGATTAATAGTCTAGTCAAGTGTCTTCAGTGAAATCGTCGCATGCTTGCATTGCATTGGGCGGTAGCAGTTCGCGGCAGGCTCTAATAGCCCATCGAGCCGATCTGTTTCCGTCGGCGGTCCCTGGACCGATCACCGACGGACGCTCCAGCACCGAGACGGCCGCACGGTCTGTTGACGGTTTTGGCGCCTGTTGACAGTTTTGGCGCGTCGGGTCGTGATCGCCGCCGGCCGCTCCGGTCTCTTGGCGCCGTTTTTCTGGCGCGAGACGAGGCTGCAGAAGTCAGGCGGACAGAGTGGGGAGGAAATGATCAGCCCGAGGGCAGGGTGTGGTGACGTCAGACGGGTAGAGTATCGGAGGAGACGCACCTTGTCCTCTCCTCGGAGGTGTGCATTGATAAACAGCAGAGGCACCCGAGGCCCCGCGCTGGGAGCGGTAATGTGGAGCCATCGCGGGAAGTTATACCTAGGAGAACGCTCGGAAGGTGGACGTGCGAGAGGCATTGAGACTGACTGAGGTACTCAGAAAAGACGCATCACTCGCCTCCACAGTGTGATTATAAACAAATGACGGATAAACGTTGGCTGGATGTGGGTGCAGCGCTAACGTCCGATGTCATATGTCGTGAAAGATTCTTATTTACCAACAGCAAGGCTTAATAACTGTCAAGCGAAGCCCACGCGACGTAAGACTTATGACCATCGCGGTTGTTAACGTAACTCACGGAGCTGTTGCCCACTTATGCAACAAGGCTGAATACCCAACGACTGCCTCGACGCTTCTCTTTATTTCCCCTTATACGTTATTTATTAATAACATGGGCACCCGTAGTTCGTGCTGCTGTATGCTTTTCACCATGAAACTCATCAACGTAATGGGTGCTAACCATGCAGTTTATTTCCTATATCTACATAAATCCTTTCATGAATCGCGGCAAGAACTGTCGGCAAAATGAATACTAAATATATAATGGTTAATGGTTGGATTTACATTACTTTCGTAATATTGATCCCACTACAATTGAAATGAAGTAAGGTAAAAGTACTCCTTATGACAGGCTGCTGGTAATGTGCATGTCTTACCCGTTTACACACGTTTTGTGTGTCGTTTGGAAGCAGTATATGCTAAAACTGTTTCATCCCAAGTGCAATTGCATAACATTAAATTTACTTCAATTTTTTTATCGTCCCCATTTTTGTGTAATGTTGGGTATCAAATATGTGCACGTCTTGTTATTTGTGATCATAATTCACATTTACCCTCGGCATTCCGCGCATACCCCGGCCGAGCATTTGCGACAGCTCCGTTCGTTTGTCAGGAGGCTTTCTGCAGTTCTCTGACAATGTCTTCGCCAACATCCCGGAAATAACTACATAGACTTTAAAACCTTTATACCACAACAAACGGGATCCGGCCCGTAGCCATTTGATAACAATTTACAATGAACTCACATACATACATGTGACTTTTATCCATAATTACGTCATATTGTGTCACATGACGTTCTTCAGCGGCGTATGCGCGTAGTGGAATCATTCCCGCACACAGCTCTGACATTTGGACGCTATAAGCGGAGTTGTGGGCGATGCCATTGTGCAAACCGAATGGGCAGCGCTGAGCGCTCTGCACCGTAAGAGCATTGGCAGTCATCAAGACGTTTCATTTCATTCACACTGCAGCCGGCCGCCAGGTCGGCAGTGCCGTAACACCGGCAGGAGACTCGGTAATTGCATCCATGAGCTATACGGGAGCGTGCACGACCATTAATGTATGATCTACGGCTTCAATAAGCTGGCGGGACATAATTTACGGGCGCAGCCGAGTGGGCCCGCACACCGCCACCTGTCATTTCGGTGACTCTATTTCAGAGGTAAATCTGGAACATTATGTTCATATTTTGTAGCATTTTTCATTTAAGTCTGACGTTGTCTTAACCCTGCAGGCTACAAGCGTGGCGAAACTGGCTCGGAAGTCATAAACAGGAAGCCGTAGCCTGTAAGCACTAAGCAGCTAGCTCTAAAGTGACACGAGGCTTTTCCGTACCAGCAATATGCAATGCGTTCGCTTTGTTGGCTCAACGTAAGGAACGATGATAATAAGCAGGCGGCAAGAGACTGCCAGATTTTTTATTTAACACTAGCATTGCTCATAAACATGACGTAGATTGTAGATATATCATTGTTACCTAATTGCTTAGAGGCGAATGACTAATGCACACGCTAGAACATGTGTAGTGTGTATGTAACTATGCACGCTGGAGCGTATTTGAATGTAAACTTGACCTCGGTAAGCGTCAAAATTCTGTGCCAATTTCTGACCTGTCACCAGCGCCAAACTTATCCACATCAACATGAAAACTCTGTAGATGCATCAAACTTTCCCAGCCCTTGATAGGCGACCGAGCGCAACACCCAACTTCCCTGGCTTCAGCTGCCTTGTGCCCGGAGGACGGCGGCGCGAATCTCATTTTGTCTCTGGGCCAAGATGCCAGTGTAAATCTCAACCCGGTTACCGAAGCTATCCGGCGATGGAGAGGCGCACCCACCCAATATTTACCAATCACGTGCGCAATCTAAAGTGGGCGCCTGGAGGGAAGTCAACAACAGAGAGCGGGCCGGCGGCCGGCCGCGCAGCCAGTTTCCCACCGCTGCCGGCGGTCGGCCGTCCGACACCAGATATTATATGGTGTCGGCCCGACACCAACCGATACCGTTGACATTATTAGCCAAATGTGCTCTCCGGTTTCCGGCGACTCAATTGAGGGGAGTGGGCCGGGCAGTAGTCGGGGACAGCAGAGCACGCGGCACGTGCGGAAGCGACAGCGGCGGGTTCCTGGTGGAATGGAGAAAAGAGGACGAGGGGGATTGACGGGATGTCACTTATGCATCACATTTTAAGTAGCATATCAATATGAAATGGCAAGCTATACTTTGATCTGAGACCATCAAACAGAAGCGACAGACTCGGGCGGAACGTAATTTACTCAGAGTAGCCGGCGCCGCGGCGTGTCTTGCGGTACAGCCTACCTCCCAGTCGTGTGTGGCGGTACAGCCTACCTTCCAGGCGCTACAGTCTACAATACATTACAGGCTCAACGCCGTCCTGGCGAACGCGGCTCAAGTCACTAAAACTTGCCTGCATTGACGAATTAATATGCTTTTTGAGCAAAGAGTACAAAAAGGATGGCCTATTATTGTAGGTTACGACTTTTGTCATATTAATCCCTGGATAAAAATATAACTTTGCATTGATATATTATCGTTTTTGTCCGTTCGTCACCTCTTCGCATCCAGATTCCAGGACTTCGATATGCTAAGATCAATCCCCTTTTCCCTGGCCAGCACCACCGTCTTCATTACAGCTAGGATACTAGATTGCACAAATAATAGGATGAAGCTGTCAAATAATTGAGCAGCAGTTCCTTATAAAAGTGCCGCGAATCTTATGAAAAAAACATCCCACGCTATACCAGCGACCCCGACATCACAACAAGAAATGCATTTCTCGCCCGAAGGCATGCAATGAGCTCGAGGGAAGCCACACATTTTTGTGCAACACGTAGGCTTTACATTATCGTCAAACATCGCAAGCAGCGTGAAAAATTCCTACTTGCGATGAGAATGATAGCTGTCGCTGTATTAACGTTGGTAGTTGAAAAATGAATTATGTAGATGGGCGAGAGGAACTGCTTCAGATGATATCAGTGCAAACCCAAGATGTCAGCAAATTAAGTGCTTAGACCTCCACAAGTGAGCATTGTCGTGTCAGATATTATATAACATTACTTTGCCAATGCCAGCATTCGTCTAAATGTTTGTTCACCCGAAACGATAAGGGAAGCGAAAAAAGTGATTTTAGTTACGTACGCCGTAGCCGTGTTCTAATTCACTGCAACGTGCACACCGCTAGTTGTTTCAGAGCAGACTAGGAAATTGTCGCACACCAGTGTATTTCCACGGACCCGACACAGCCGAACACTTCCCACAGACGGCCGTGGCCCGGCGCGCCGCCGGCATCCCAAAGGCCGATAGTCCTTGCGTCAGATATCGAGCGCAGCCCCTGTCCTGGCCAAATCGGTGGCCGCCGCCGGTTTTAGAGGACAGCGCGGCCACACCGCCGTCATCAGCTGATGGTGGACGACCTGAGGAAGCTGACCAGGCAGAGTGCCGAGTTGATGCGACCCTGGAGACGCTCCCAGGCAGCCGCCTGGCTGGTGCTCAGCTTGTCCACAAGATTCCGCAGCTCCAGACTCTCACTGATGGCTGGGCCGTGCAGCTGCCGGGAGAAAGAGCGAGAGAGATCAGTTGCAAACACATACCAAAACCGAACAGGCTCTCACAGTCAGGTTTCACCTGGCTGATACAGTACCAGTTCGCACTCCCACCCCGGCGGCCCCGGTGACACCGTCATACACCGGTTCATCTCACACCATTGAGCACCGTCCCAGTGATCGGCCGGCCGGCTCACGCGTATCAAACGCCCCACCCATTACGTGCATCGCGCCGCGCCCGGCGATTGATGACTCATTCGGCACGGGCCGCGGCGCGCCGCTGAAAGCCGGCGCCCATTTCGCGGCTGAGCGGTCCTCAGTAGGTCGGGGCCCGGTCGCCGAGCCGTCACCGGGCGCACGGAGCTCCCTGCGCCATCGCTGGGCGCCGCCGGCGGGTCCCACCAGAGCAGCGCGCTCATTAAGGAGGCTTTATGGGCGCCGCCGGCATTATGAGCGCCTTTAATACCTCATCTGTCTCAAGTACAGCGCTTACGGCAGAGCGGTTCACCACGTTTCGAATTCGGTCAAAAGCCGGCACGGCATGGCGACGGCCGTGCTCGCGGCTTCGATAGAACGCTCCGTCCGGACCCAATCATAGAGCCCAGCTGCCATGCGGTCCAGGCGGCCGGCAAAAGACCGGCTTCGCAGATATCTCCGATATGGCTCAACAGCGCGGCTCCGTCCGAAAACCGAGAGCAAGCGTGAACACTGAACAGGCTGGCAAAACTTTGAATGTAATAAAAAAATTAATAAATACGAGACCTCGCAATTTTTGCTAAGGTTGTGTACTAAAAATGGAGACCAAAGGTTAGGTTCCTAGCTTGTTTTCTCGTATTTCACAAAATCAACTATCCTAATAATTCGTTCAGTCATATTTACTGCTGGCTCCTACGAAGCCACCGCCGTAATTTATCACCTGACCCGCTCTTTGTCATCAAAGCCGGGTAAAGGAATGGCTAAGGTGAGAAGAAATGTAATAGAGGAGGGTGGCGACCCTTTGAATATAAAGGACAGTCACAGAGTCCTATCAATTACCCGATGAGAATGTTAAGCGATTTAACGATTCCAAACACCATTTGTGAATAAGAGTGTCGATTGTGAGCATACACACTCATACACAGCGCACACGATGAAAGGGGTCATTCCACGAGTCATGTTGAGTCCTAACTATCCCACTTAAAGTGAGCACTGGGTACTGTGTACTATGAAGACATTTTAGCCCTCAGATTTCGTCGAATACAGCAATCAAGCCCCTTCGTAAGTAACATGTCCCCTGTCCTGGTGCGCCGCTCCTCCCCGCTCTCCTCGCCGTGCGCGGCCCGGCTCATGAGCTGTGGCTCCCGGCAGGCAATCAGTGGCACCCGCGCGCCGCGCGCCGGCACTGACCCGCTTGGCATGCCGGCGGCGGTGGCCAGTCGGGGGCAGGCCGCGTCATCGGCTCACGATTGGATGGCGTCTGCCCGGCCGGCCGGGACACCAAATCGGCACCGCATTGAAACGCCCCGCGGCTGTGGAGCTGAGGCTGTGCGGTCCTCAGGAATGCGGGCGGTTCATGGAGTACGGCTCTCGCGAGATAAAGCGGTAGGTTTTGCACTTTTACATTTCCGGTTATATCTCAGAAACTAATCGAACTACGATGAAGCCATTTTACACGATCATGGCCGGCTTGTTACCCAACAAGTCGATCGCACCTTCAACACTTAAAAGCTTAAGACGACGAAGATATAGCCTGAAGTACACTAAATTTTATAGGTGCAAAACCTACCGCTAAAACCCGCGAGACCTGTACGTAGAGACATAATGGTGAAAGGGAACTGTTGTGGTCGCCATATCATTTCGGTACGAGCTATTTGTATTCCCAGTCGCGTCGCAAAATTAAATTTAGAATTTAAAACTTCATCTGTGCCTATCTATGCCAGCCACACCACCGACAAATATACCTACCATGTTTCGCCAGACGGTACAAAAATATAACTTAGAGTAAATGCTCGCAGTAAGGAACCACGAAATTCCAGAAGCAGTCAACATGTAAGAGTAAATAGAATATGAAATAAGGTCCGTAAAACCAATCGCTTTTACAGCGATATTTTTTTTCTATAACACCATGCCACATCTCTGCCCCGCAGCTTTTCCTTGGAACGCCAGCGAAGGACAGCTCCTTCCAAGGCGGCGCCTCCGTTCCCTGTCTTTGGGTCCTGCCGTTTGGCCACCCCTCTCCCGTACCATCCCCACGCGCCAGGGGCTCCGTCCGGCGGCCGTTCCCATCCCACCGATATCATTAGAACTGCGCCGCCGCTGCTGCCGGCCCCTCAGTTTCCCGGTTCACAGTTCTGGCCGAGTTACCACGGGAGTGTGAGCCAGGGCGGGCGGGGGCAGTTCGACTTTGACACACATTACGAGACGATAAGCCGGCGCCGCCGCCGAGCGGGCGGGGGCGGGGGCGGGGGCCGACCGGGTGTCGTCGCTCCCACGCCGACGATGCACTGTTCAAACACGGCCGCGACCGGCCCGCTATTATCGAAACGGCGGCGCGCGACAATGGTGGCGCACGGCACCGCTCTGCGGCAAAGACAGCGCAGCGACACACGGCCGACCGCCCATGCATATTTCCTCCCCATGGAGCCGGTCAAAGGACAGTCAGACAGACACAAATGGCACAAAGTACACGGACCATCCCACCCACACAGCGTACTGCACACAAAACGCCATAAACTCGCCTGTCACACGGCACCGACAGCGGTATTAACCTATTAACCCCGCATATTGCGCGACCCAAATCGGCGACCCGATATAGCAATCAGTCGCCCGTTCGACGGGGTCCCGCGGGATCCGCTCCCATTAGGAGGGAGACGGCGATCCTATCATGGCACGGCACCCCAGACGGAGCTCCTGGTTCATCGCCAAGGCAGCGGTCACTGCGCCCAGTGCATCGCCGCAGAGAAACCAGGTGGTTATTGAGATTGGTAATTGTGAGTGGACCACTATGAAATGGCAAAATCAGGGAAACCACGCAGGTGGCTTGGAATAACTGCTCACCCGAAAGCCAGAGAAAGGAAGAGTTCATGAGCTTCCTTGGCATAAACATTGCATGTCAACAGGATGTGAACTAAATGGACGTGTAGAATAATAAAACAATTGAAGTCAGCGTCTCTCAATTTTTCACCTAACCTGACATCTGCCATCTATTCTCAGCTGCGTTTTCTGCGAACACCCAACGCGACCGCGGCGTCCATCACCCTTCAGCGTTCATCGCTCTCCTCCGCACGCCGATATCGAAAACCGACACGGACGGATGGCCGGCTCACCGCCGACTTTGCATCGCGCCACCTCCACACCGCAGAAATTTATGAAACACCCATATGAATTTCATAAGACGCGACCCACCCATTGATCATTTATGATAAACAACGCGCGGCTGGGCGCGGTGCGGCCGCCAGGGCGTCGCTCCCCTTCCCCTCTCTCCGGGGAGGGCGGCAGTGCCGGTCCCCGCAGCTCATATCCTGGCGCGCCCTTTCAATGTAGCCGCCGACCGCCCCGGCAGCTTATCTGCAGAACGGCCCGTGTTTCCCGGTATAGGACTGTCTCCAGGGCATCCTGAAGTTGCCCACTTGACTAACCCACGTTAAACTCTGAAAAGGAATTTTATTTTCGATTAAAGGGTACTGCGTAGTTGTGTTTCCATTTGCATGCATTGCACCGTAAATAAAGTATATGTAAATGCATACAATTTAAGAATAAGGCTCCGAAATGATGTTAACTCAAACGCTCCCAGTTTCACCATCAAACCACACATGGCAGCACAAGTGACAATTTCCTGCCCTGTGGCCCACCTGTAGACGCGACCCACCGCAGACTCTACGGGTGATGATTCCAGTTTACTGCACCTACAGCCACAAAACCGACCGTAAACCCGACCGTTATAGCCGATAATCCAGAAATCGGCGGTGTCCGTGCCAGCCAACTACACAATCAATTGACCCAAATGATGATCTGATACGTTAGTTACATTACATTTGCTATATTTTCGATACAAATCGACTTGCAGAAGATTAATCAAATGACATCACTTTTGATAAACTCACTCATCCATAGCGAGGACAATAGGTGTAAATGACATTCAAATAAAAAACTGCCACCAATATCGCGAAAACGATCATCACGTATCGATACTTCCTGACCTTCAGTTGCCGTTTTTTTTTCTGCACCATTGCGCCGCTGCTGGCAGTCATGTCCCCGTGCCCATCACTGGACGGCCCGCGTGGCCTACCACCACACAATTATCCGGTCCCCAGAGTCGCCGCCACGCCCGCTACGGTCTCGTCACGGCGGACACGGCCCGCTACGGCGGCTACGGCCCTACTACGACCCTGTTATGGCGGCTACGGCTCGCTACGGCGACCGGGCGATGACAGAGCAGTGCAGACATCGTCCGCGAGCAACAGTGCCGTGCCTTAGCGGAGCAGGCGTGAAACGTGGTGTTAGGTCGGAGCCGGTTCGAGCCGACTGCTGTGTTGCATTCGTTGAAAAGCCAACGCCAAGTCATATTTTGAGACTGTCATCTCAAAATATTGATCTCAAAATATGACCTCCTTCGGATCAGACTCCTCAGACTCTGCGTTGACCCAGCCTGCCCGATACGCCCCCGCCGTCCCCCGTCCCAGGGGAGGGGTCACGGGATGACCCGTGGGGGGCAGCGGCGCGACACGGCCCGTCATCTGATCACAGGCGAGTGGGGCGGGGCGACCATCGCTCTGTACCCAGGGGGAGCTCAGGGGGGAGGGGGTCAGAGCCGGCCGGCCGGGACCCTAGATAACAGCGGAGATAAAAATACGCCTTCCAGACGTTGCAGCAGCCCCCAGGCAGCAAAGAATAAAGCTGCTGATAGCTGAAACGATGGCTCGGATGAAGCCATACAATAATATCATTCTCTGACATTATCGTATCGAATCGTATCGATAATCGCCGGCCCGATTGAGATTTCCTCCGCAATTTAGCGATCATTGTGCAGTCGCCGGCGGGCTCGGCGGTATCTATTGTCTGTGATGGCATCCGAAGACAGCTAATGTGCAGCAATAGCGGCGGCGGTGGCCGGGTCGGCCGCCGCCGGCCATTGCCGTCCATCAGTTGATAACGGTGGAGGCCTGGGGCGCCGCGCCGCGCAGCCGGGCAGCTCCGGTCAGCAGCCGGGCAGCCCCGGCCGGCAGATCAGAGCCCGCACCGCGCTGCTCCCGTGTCGAGTTTCTTGTCGTCGACTTCTGGACAGCCGCGCACACACCGCCGCCTCAGTGCCCGGGATTCAGGCCGGCTGCCCGACGACAGAACATTGACGCGCAGTTGTCGGGCAAGATGCGCTCCCTAGCCGTCCATCAGACGCACTTTGACCGGCGCCGCGGAAAAAACCTGACCGCTAATGTATCTCTCAATACCTACATCGCATGTATCGGATTATGTAGCTAATATCTGTCAAAGCAAATGGAACGTAACCTATAAAACCAAACAGGAAAACAACATAAGCCTGCCTCAAGGTCAATATCAGCAAAATCAATATCCTACCCGCTGATATGGATCCTATGTTAGGTTACGCTTATGTAAAAAGCTACAGGTTCTAGCGGATAACCAAGGCAGCCCCCTCAACTCCATTGCACCACCTTTGCATATTTATCGTTTATCAGTTCAGTGGTGAGTGGTCAATGGTCAGTGGCCAGCGGCCAGTAGTCAGTGGTCACTGTTCAGTGGCCAGTGGTCAGTGGTCAGCGGCCACCCTCTGTGGAGCGCCGGGTCCGTCGGTGAACGGTCAGAGCCCGGTCACCGGCCGGCCAGGCCCGATATCAGCTCAGCCCTCACCGGGTATAATCCGGTGCCGGCGGCAGATGGCTGCCCCACTGAGCCGATCACTGCTCCCGGACCTGGAGATATACCGGCACGCCAGGCCACGCGCAGGGTAGGCCGGGGCAGAGGCGGACAGAGAACAGGAGAGGGAGAGAGGAGGGAGAATAGAGGAGGTCACTTCAGGCTAAGGCTAGGTAACTGACTGAGGGTAACCTCTTCATGATTTCGCAAAAAAATAATCCAATATTTCACAGTGTTTTGTGTCAAAATAGGCGTAAGAGCCTGTCCCAGGCACAAAAGCAGAGTCGATTGGATCATCCGCCGCAGTGACCGTCCTCACCTTGAGGAAGAGTCCGAGGTAGGCCTGCGCCAGCTCGAAGTCGCGGCACGAGTCCAGCTGGTGATGCAGCGTCATAAGGAAGAGCCGCAGCAGCTTGGGCGAGCTGCCGGGCGCGGGCGCCAGCTGCCGCAGCTCAGAGTCCAGCTGCCACGGACCGAAGGTCTTCAGCAGCGTCATGACAGCGTCATCTGCAGGACAAAAAAAGCATGCCGTCAATCAGAGCAACGGTACGCGCAAGGTCGAAGATAAGTACGGGGCCTTCAGCACAAATTTGGATCAGAGGAAACAGCGCGGTTTGTACAGATACCGACCGGAACCTCAGTGGTGTAGCAAATTGCCTTTATAACCTAGGATGTAAAGAAAAATCGTAAGAGAAAATGGTGTTAACCTACCAACGAAGGCAAAATATGCACACAGGACAGAGCTCAGCTTACTTAAAACGCGGGTGACGAAAACACCCGTCACCCACACGCCAGTACATTTGCGTAATTGTAGATGGTGACGGCCGACGGGCCATTATTCTGTCATGCACAGTCAAACGTACAATTTTGTCACATTGACAGTTGCACAGCCGAGTTTGAATGACGGTCTCCAGCGCGATAATCACAGTAAATTTACTTTGCATTATAACGAGGTTAACAAAGAACCTATTGCGCCAGCACAAAAAAAAACATTGTTGCAGACTTTAATCACACGTCATACGCCATTCGCAATGTAGGAGGGCGTGGCGGCTCTCGGGGAAGATCAGGGACACATATCGCGTACATACCATCCAGCATCCTTAATGCTGTGGAAATATCCGAATAAGTTATTTAGGAAAACTCACCAACCGCAAGCCCGCTGCATTAGTCTTATTTTCAATAGCGAGATAAATACCAAAGGTATTCAACAGTAGAACATCCATAAAGCATACATTAGCAGTTTACTAGTGACAATAAGAATCGTTAAGCTGTCAGGCGCCGTTCAACAGCGCACCCCGCACTGTCAGACGGATGACTCCCGGTCAATTCGTTTGTCAGCCGATAAATCACACCCAGTGTCGGCCATACGTCTCTGTGGAGCGGCGGCTCGTCCCCAGACCGTCCGGTCCGACCCACACCGGCAGCTGGGGAGGCTCGCACGCCGGCGGACCTCCACGCCGCCACCGTCACCGGCTTCCGAGACTTATAACGTCACGGTGAGACCGACCGAATCAGCCCCCCCCCCCCCCCGGAGATACACCTCTCCTTCTCCGTACCGCCACTGACGGTGACCCCTCCCCCTCCTCCCCACCGCCGTGTGAACTGTCTCCCAGAACACTCATACCTGACGAGCTAAGTTCTGTTGAATGACACCCCGGCCACAGCAGCCGACAGCCCCCCCCCCCCCCCTTCCCCACCGCCCCATGTATCACCCGACCACGGCGGCACAATATTGGACAGCTTCGAACACGGGCCGTTCCAAAGTCATCAGGACGCTCTGAGACGCCGCCCATCTCATTCATATACCCGGAAGGGAGCGGGGCTAGTTTCCTACATCAGCCTCGGCGATCAGAGGCGGCAGCGGCAGCCAGTGTGATGGAAAATCGGCGACGGTAGTTCATCGGCGCTCAACGGGGAACAACTACAGAGTCGTCTCTTCGAGTACGAAACCTATACCGCCCGTATTCATGGCCGGCATGGGGATTTACTCGAAATCGTTTCATTCTTATTTTACAAGGCCGTAACTTTGCTAGCCAGTTACAGTACAGTATATGTAAAGGCATGGGCCTTGTCTTAGAGCGTAATGCAGCATGACGCTATGCCGAGGCACAAAGAACCGAAATAATCGCGGCCAACGGTGTCACACCATAAAACAGTCCTCAGAGTAGTCGCTGTGGTCCCATGTGTCCCATCTCCCCGTCCACCCCTATCGTGACGTCAGCGCTGGCGCGCGCTATCGTCCTCACGCCCGGCTGGTGGCACGCCATCGTTAGCGCGCGCCACCGACCCCAGTTAGAGGAATGTTTTCAGATCCGCCGTCCACGCTCGCAGATATGTAGCAAATGACGCACGATACGGGCGCCGGCAAATACGCGGATTAGGCCGATTATGCAAACTGGCGATATTTGGTGACACTATTGGCGGTAGTGGTGGTCGCTCGCAACTACGAAATAATGCGACGCGAAACACTAGCATTTAGCAACGCTTCAATAAGTCCAGATTTATTCATTGTGGCATTCTATTTGAACCTCGAACTATGTCCAAAAGATTAAAGTCGGTGCGCATTTAAATGAATATTAAATGTAAAGGCGCGCAGGTAAACATAATCATAAAAGGGACCAGCACCGATTAAGCAATTGCGGGGGCTATCTATACCTACTACGCACACCCTTCAGGGCTGACCTATCAGCGTTCCTACCACCGAGATGAGTGCAGACCAAGAGAAGCAGCCAGCCCCAGAAGACGCGCGGTCACGCTCTGTCGACACACAGACGTGCTAGTCGGCGGCCGAGCGGCCCGTCCGTGCGGAACACCGTCGAGCACCCCCTCCAGTCGCGCTCCGGCGGCGCACGAGGAGCCCCGTGTCGGTACGGACCGAGAGGGCCACGGGGGCGTGAACGGCGCCCAGACCCCGGCCGAGGGAACGAGTTGACGGTCTGACAACAATGGCAGGATGTTGACAGACGTCGGAGTCTCACACACAAACGGACAGACGGGGAGAGGCCACTCTGGCACGGCTTGGAGGTGAGGAGACAGGAGACGACAGCGGCTCACACAGGAACGCCGAGGTATGGAGCAGGTGACAGGCGGAAGCGACCCCGCGACCTTCGCGACAGGTCGGAAAGGGCAGCTGAAATAATTAATATGCGAATCACACATTACCTAAAACATCGTCTTGCATTTTTTCTCTTGCTGCAAACGAAGATACACATTACTAGTGAATGGGAAATTTCACTCTAATAGCATATCGTTAACGATCTGCGATCATTTCAGAACTGTCCAGAAAGAGCCAAGAGTGAGGAAAGGCAAGCCGACTCTTCCCGTCAACCTCCACGGCGCATTCATCTAGCAGATCTGTATAGTGTATACCGCCAGCCCGACAGCGCAACCATGGTCGTACAGCGACGTCTAAAGTACCGACCCCGGACTAATGGACCGTGCTGCAAACGACCCCGCAGGGACATTGAAGACGGTGGGGACGGGGCAGAGGGGGAGGGGACTCGAGTGCGGGGCGGGGCAACTGACAGACTGATTGCCCCAAGTAGACAGTGCTTTGGTGGGTCCATATAAGATCGGCACGAAAATCTGAGAATCATGATTACCCGCATACGTACACACACAAAAAAAAACAGCAAACAAATACACAAAATTGCCCCGGCGGACTTAGGACACCGTGCGGACTGTAGACTGTCCACTTTTCACGAAAGCTCTCAGTTCTCACCTCTAAAAACTATGACGTCAAGCGCGCCCCGCCCGACCGCCACCTGTCCCCTCCCAGGCCGTTATTCGGTGAAGTCACAGACCCCACGGAACGATCTCTGGGAACCCGTGACCCTGTGAAACGGTGCGTGGAACGCCGACACCGATATACCGACGCCGGATCTCCGGCTTCATACAGGTGTGTCACACACCACGGATATGGACATCTGCGGATATCACCGCTACAGGGAAATGGATCAGAAAATCGGGAAGGTGTCCTTGCTGACATTCCATGAAGCAATGCGGTCATCAGCCTGTCTGGCATCAAAAGCCAGTTGCAAGAATATGAACGTCGTGCTGATACTGTCAAATCCTGTCTATCTGAGCCAGCGTTTCTGAGACATATTGCCCGTTCACACATCATTAATTCCATCCAGTCGACAGTGAGTGATTTGTGAAGATTCCGGCGGGCCGGCCCGTCCCGCAGCATCTCCAGCGTTGGGTCGGTGGCCAGCCCCGTCCGTCGGTCGGTGGCCGGTACGGCGCGGCGCGGCGGAGAGCCGAGATCAAGGTGCCACTGCCGGGCCGGGTCACCGGGTGGATCGCCGGTAGCCGGGGTCACTCGGGTCGGCAGCCCGGGGCTCAGACACAGTCCAGACACAGACGTCCATATGAAATACGAATCCACCGGGACCTGTGGAGGCCGTGTCAGTTCGCTGAGGAACAGTGACAGCGCAGTCGGGTTTGTTTTCAGCCGCTGTATGGAAAACTACGGCTTTTAAACTACACAACCGCGATGAAAACTAATAACAACGCAAATAATGTAACGTAAAAACGGAAGCTGAACACAACCAAAACACGAGTATTACGCAAACCTCCAATGTTACTCGACATTGGATACAAATAAACAGAGGCCCACTGTTCGGTCAGAAGGCCGGAAGGAAGTAATAAGCCTGAGTGTAGGCTCCACACAGACATCGTCAAATTCTCCTAGCTGACAATCACTCGGTTGTTTTTCGCTCGCCGGCGGTCTGACTGAATATTTCAACAATGTTCAATATTCTGAAAGCACATCCTCCAGTCAAAGCGCGCCCACGGCCCGACCGAAAACACCCCGGGCTGTCACCATCGACAGGCACGGGCCGGCGCGCGGCGGCATCGCACATCATTGGGCGCGTCACCCAAACGGCGGCCACCTCCAGCCAGCCGAGTCAACAACGGACGGCCGATCGGAGACTGAGTGCCGCGGCGATACAGCCAATAACCACCAGCCACGCATTTGGCGCCGTGTTAATAATAGCACGGCGTGCGCCCTGTGCCATAAGTAATCTGAATGTCGCCGGCAGCCGGCCGTGAGCCCAGCTTTGATCTTCGATCGTGGCCCCGACCTCGGGGCCCGGTCCGCCTCATTTCTCCCTGTATGTCATGTGTTGGGCCTCCCCGGACATACCGCCGCAGCGGACCTACGACAACACGGGCCCGTCACGCTATCCACCCCCCCCCCCCCCCGACACGGCAGTCGTTATTAGCCATACACTGCCCTACCCTCCCCCTGGAGAAAACAGATCTGGGAAGCACGCCAGGGTAGATACAGGCAGCCATACAGGCCTCGTGGTATTGTGCAATGGAAAGAACACGACGTTTATCAATATGCCTGAGACTTCAGCTTAAGCGATTTCGATTGGTCACGACCCCGACGGCTCGCAAACGATCCACATTCGAACATGTGACATTGCTAGCATTATCACAAAAAAGCCAGTGAATTAACGTTATGATCATCACGTCCCCCAGGGTCTGTCTACCCACAG